TTCAAAATCTCCTTACACTGCAATCAAAGAACCATAAGCCCTACTTTCCGACATTATGACCTCACCGGTTCCCACCTAGCAGACTCTGATAGCCATGTGCATTACGTCCAAGGCCAGACAACACATGTGACACACATACTCTGTGCAACTGTACATGGTAATGGCAAGTAAACAACATTTTGTGGTACATGGCACCACCGTTTGTGATTGATGGCCATTTATGATAGCCACGAATTGCACTAACAGATCAGCCACTAAGATTGTGTAAGAAATGCAGGAATCAAGTGATGAGTAACTGCATTGCGTCACTAGAAAGCCTAATTTGCTCAAGCGCATGTCTCACCAAAATGGCAGCTAAGTTTGTTTTGAGGTTTCGTACAAGAATAATTTTTGCATAAAAATTTTCAGCGTGATTTGCTCTGAGCTAATGAACGTAAAGGGCTTTTAGCGAAGAACTTAAACTTAACTCATGAAGTCATAATATTCCAAAGCAGCATCTAAGAATGATAACAATAACATATTATTCACATGAGCAGTTAGACTTGACCCGGGACTTATTAAGAAAACAGGTTAGGTATTATGACTCGCATACATTAAGAATTACGAATAGAGCAATAAAATTACAATTTTACATAAGAGCCGGCTTAATTGCAATGTTTAATTGTCATTTGCAAGGTAAGGAGTAGTTTATGTTAATAAACTAATATCAAGTAGGTACCTATTAATAATATGCGACAAATAGTAACCTATGTCATCATCTTAACCTTTAATTTCTATTGAAAATCGTATGCAAAAATCCCGCTGTTGCAGCCGTTTAACCTCTGAAGAACCTTCCATGTCTCGCTAAATTAGTAGACCGTAAAAATTAGCATAATTATGTAATTTATTATTCAATAGGAAAACGAAAGAAAAAATGCCGTTCGGTCACATTGGAGGTATTATGGTGGAAAACAAGTACATAGAGGAAAACAAGTAGATAGACTCGAATCGTTAGCAAATTCATGAGAAATCTGAATTTCGGAAGCATCTAGCTAGGTGCTTTCTTATTTTAAATACATTCAAAATACCGTTGTATTTGCTGTTTATCCCAATTCATCATGAGACGTACTTAAAGAAACCTCGACAGCCACGATGATGATGCAAAAGCAATAAACGAACACAACAGAAGCGTAATCAAACAGTACCCCATACTAGGACAATCAACTATCTCCGAAAAGTGAATCACAGGTGAACGGGTGACGTCATCGACCACATATCATGGAGGACAACGGTATCAGCATCGATACGATACATTTATTTGTTAACCGCTTAGTCACCGTTACCAGAAACATGTTCAGTTGCTCAGGTAGCCACCACATTCATTTAGGAATGAGGAAAATTTGGTAAGGTCATCTGTCTGACCCCCATTTTGGAGTACAAAACAAATCAAAACTGATTTGACTTGCGATTTGTTTTTGTTTAGAAAAACGGATTTACAAACAAAATAAAACAGATGATGGAACATTCAAGTTCAGGACTTCTCTCTTCCTCGATATCGATTTGAGACATAAATTTTTCTACAAAATGAAGTTAAGCGAAGTATATTTATCATAGAATTACGATTAGATTTGTAGTTAAATAATAAAATAAATAAATAAAATAAAATATCTATTTATAAGGTGTAGTTCTAGACTAGTAAATACACTGGTCTCCAGGCAATCCATTAAAAAGATTGAACATAAAATTACGGGGATCTAGGGATGGACACACAATAAACGCATACACGAAGTTTAGCAGGGAATGGATGCGTTCAATTTGCGTAGACTATTACAGTAGACTAGACCATTACTTAAGTATTCTACAGGAACGATGAAGGAGCAGCCGAAACAAACATAAAATATTTCCCTCATGATAGATTGCACCAGGTGTCTATCATCCTACAAGTAACCAGCTCATTGGGTAATGCGCGATATTATTGAGCTATGCAGGCGATGCGATGTACATACAACTCGTTTCTACTACATTTGCGTAACATACCCTCACATAGTGAATACAATGTATTATTTTACTACAACCAACTAAGAACTTACATTTATTCATATTAATATTTAATTTGTATGTATTATGATATGATGAATTTAAAGAAGTTCGATTACGACGCTATAGACAATAATCTTAATTTTTATTCTTTATAAGACACAAAGTCCTATATAGTAAAATGTTCTTATATTTTGTAAGTTGTTTGTAGTAAGTACCACAACATTGATATCTGAATTAATTTATTTACGAATTACCTTCAAAGCTAATAGATATAAATAGATTAATACAGATAAACAAACAGAGTTCAATGACCTCAATGACAAAATACTGGATTGGTATGATGTTGTTTACTTATTAATTGTTTTTAATCAGTTGTTTATTGGTCATTAGGTCAAAATTCACTAACTTGCAAGGATTTTTAATGCAATGTAATTTAAATATAATTATGACTATAATCCATATGGTTTCAAAATGATGAAATATGTAAAACAAATAATGAAAACAAAAAAAAATGCAAACTTTGGCACTCTTTTGGAAAAACATGTTTGTGCAAATAAATTATACAGGGTGTAAACGGAACGCTCCCAAAACGCTAAGAAAAAGAAATCATTTGTTATTGTTTTTATTTTCGTGTTATTCATGCAATATCTGCCTCGAGCAGTTGATTACAACTATAGTTACATAAAAGAAATATTTAATACCTTGCTTTTATGGAAATAAAACTTCTTTTTTACCATCACCTGACGGCGTTTTTCGGAAGCGTTCCGTTTACACCCTGTATAAATAGTATCATTTGGTGAAACTAACATAGTCACCTAATCTTAGTAATATGTCTTAAAATTGCAGCATGATTTTCCAATTAGACTATTACCCACCCAACAGATTTTTTTAAACTATACTAAATACTTATATAATTATGTATATAACTTACTAAACTTATTCAACGAAATTAACCATTATTTTTAAGAGGGGAATCATTGAATGACTTTTTCTGCTGTGTGATGCGAGAGGGAGTGTCAGACTATTACTGACTAAAAACAACTCCATTCTTACTCCTGGTTCAAACCTGAGCCATGGTAATAGGAGAATAAAAAAAGGTAATGGAATACCGAAAACTGAAAATATAAATTATTGTTTAACATAGCATAAACAACTTCACTACCTCCATTTCGTTATACAAATTAAATTAGGTATAACAATATTTATAATAATAACACTGTTGCTAATTGCTGAATAACAATGTTTATGCAGTTAATCTTCTTGTTACATGTTACTTCACTTCGTTTTCCTTCCTCAAAGACCGATCAAACATTTGGAAACCCAGTTTTAGATATTTAGCTAATTTAAGTCCTATAAGACTTTTTTGTAAGGTGCAAAATTATTATAGTTAATATTTGTACACTGTGCACTTATGCAAATTAGAGTCAGGTAATGGAATTATGTATTTGAAAAAGTTACGATGCACATATGTATAAAGATTAAAACTGAAGTTATAAGATTAAACTGTCAAATATCACGAGGACACCGGTGACCGCAACCTATTGTTCTTTAGTTGTGTCTATAATGACGGTAGTCAAAGAGTTAAGATAGTAACTAATTGAATTTTTTTATATGAATAGTTGTCAATCTGTCTCACCGCACACAATGAATGTGCAAACTTGTTTTATTTTATATTAATAAATATTAGTGATGTTGGGATGGGTAGCAGTGTTGACATTAAAAAAGTAAAAAACAATACAGTATTACCATAACTTGATAAAATTTGCATTTCCCACATTGATAAGTAAGTATAATATGAAATATTAAACTACCTACTAATTTAATATTTAGCTATAATATCCTGTTTTGTTAGTTTAGTATGGACTCTGTTAAACTGGCAAAGTTCCTTACAAATAGACACAGAATATTTTGTAGTAACAGATACAGAAAGATTATTCTAGCAAAATTAAAATTGTTCAACAAATACATTTACAATTTATACCAAATTCAAATGAACAATAATATCCTAATCCGACCTAGATAGTATTAATTAATTATATTTTTTATTATAGAAATAAAAACAAAGATGGCCTTGCTTGTCTGTGCAAAGAACATGTATTCTGGATATGCAGGCATGTTCGCTTTGTATTCAGAGATGCAGCATCCTAAAATTATTTATGAGAATAACATGTGGTTGTGGCATGAATCAATGTAAATGATGCAACTCATCATTTTCAAATTTTATTTAAATTCAAGTAGTGCATACACATGATTTGTCAGCTTATTTTGACGTTACTTCTATATTAGGAAATGTACCAAAACCTGAGTCTTATAAGAATAATGGTCAAGTAAGAATGACTTGCAAAATATCACCAAATCAACAATCACATTTCTATGTATTGCATCATACAATCAGAAGTACAACCATATTGGATGTATCTTATCTGTAATATGCTTAAAATAACTAGTACCCAGTGATAATCATTATCAAACTATTCATTAAGCTTGGACATTGATCGTAAAATGGCAAGATTCTGTTTTTGTTTACCACTTTTTGATAAGACACAGTGAGTGTTTGCAAAAATATTGTTTGTGGTATTTTCCTACAAACAATCTCTGGTGACTAATATGATTCTGTACATTTAGTGAGAAAAGAAATGTTATGCGGTGATGCAGACACAAATCTAACAAGCAACTGGCATGCATGACTGGCTGTAAAAATAGATTTGTATTTTCATGATATTATATTATTAGCAATACTATTCATGTACAAGTGGCCAGGTGTAACTCAGTGTTTCATCATTTTAAGTCTAGGAACACAATTTACATAAGCCACATGTGTCAACAAAGATTATGAACACTACATTTTTTTTAAACAAAAATACAACAGGTGGGTTGAACATAAACAATATGATTTGTTTACAAACAAAAGCTAGTGAGTGCACACAAGTAGATGAGCAGGGTGCCGGCGTGAAGCTGCGGGCAGTGCCGCGTGCACTTACCTCTTGGGTAGCAGCATGGCGGCGGAGCCCTTCCGCTGGAACACGCCGTCAACCAACACTCCATTCTTGCTGTTACACGTCAGGTAGAACTCGGGGTGGTCGTAGATTAGTTCGAGATGTTTACGAGATATGAAACTCGAGTGTCCCATGTTAACGTCCACTTGGCCTCTACTAGAGTTCCGGCCGATCACGACACGCTTCTGGCGAATGAGGTACTCGAAGTCGCGGCCGTCGAGCCTCGCGATCGCGATGGGGGCCGGTTCCTGGGCCCACTGCACCTTGGAGGGTGACGGGGGCGCAGACTTCAAAGAGAGCAGCGCCCACGCGTCGCTCTCCGAGCTTCGCGTAAACTGAGTCTGGGCCATGGCAGGCGCGCGCGTACAGATATCACCAACGCTGTCCACACGCGGGGCGCGAACGCCTTGCACGAGGGCACATCACAATACCGCCGCGAGAACCGCCGCCGCCGCGTCGCGACCCGGATATCCGGAACCTGCCGAACCCGTGCCTTTAGAATTTGAGGTTACTGACGGGACGCACATGCGCAAAGTTTCTACTTGTGCGGTAAACAAGAATTATATAAACCACCACACCACCACGTGATAATAATGTATACATATACCTAGTCCGGAAGAGCGGATCGATACTATAAAGTACGGATATGTCTTATATGAACGAAATATTAACCTTTTGGTTGTTGCACAACTGAATTTTCGCAATTGGACCGAAATTAGACACTAAAGTAAACACGAGGCGAGAACAAAAATAACCAAAAACGTCAGTTCGGCATACGCAGTTTACAAGTTCGCCGCGCCATCTATGCAACACAGCAACAAATTGTAAATATTTAGTTCCGTTTCACGCATTTGTTACCGGCGTAAAATTTTATTCAAATATAGTAAAAGTATTTCGATTCTTTCTTTTAATTGTTGACTTATTTTAATTTGTTTAATATATCTTATGTAATTGAAATGCTACTTAATTTGTTTCGTTGCAAGATAATCCCTTGTCTACTGTTTAATATTTTATGACGGTATAACTGAAATCAAGGATTACATCTTGAGTGAAACGAAATTGTATCAATAGTGATACGCATTTTTATCGAATGTATTAGAATCGATTCAAATAAGATACACATGCAAGAAATTGATTTATTTGTAATTTCGTAATTATACTAATTATGGCATGGCTTACTGCGAATTAAAAGAAGTATCATTAGTCAAAAACACAAAGCGCATCTGAAACTGAAACTTTAAGTACTTTAACGTAACAAATAATGAAACAAGAATACAAGCTTTTCCAGCAAAATATCATTTCGATTATTATTTTATTATCTATTTTAGTATTTTTATAAAATGCTGCCAGAATTAGTACTTCTTTTTATTTCTCTAATATGGATGATATCTTGTTATTATTTTATTTTTCTAATTAGACCCAAAGGCATAAAAAAATCTGGAAAGATCTATAAATACCAAAAAATTACTAAGTATTTTATATAATGTAAATTAAAGGATTGAAGTTTTCCACATCTTGGTCCTCTTAAGCTTCGTACTCGTCCATTGATCGAATATTGTTAATTGCGAGCCATTTATGGTAATTGTCTATTACTTAAAGCCCATCAGGCCATCACTACACAGGAAAATACGCTGACGTCATCGACATAATTAGTCTATGGACTTTGTTGACATTATTTTTATTTGAGTTTGTGTAGCAAAGCAAATTGTGTAGTGTTTTTAAAACTCTGCGATGTAAACGATAACATACAATTATTAAATTATAGTGTACGTTAACGCTCTCTTCAATTTCTTCATCAGTTGTGTAAAGAAAGGTGAGTTAAATCAACATTAGCGCGAAATTTAAAATGATATTTTAGGAAAATATTTTCCATAACACAATTTTAATTGTTCTCGTGGTCTTTGACAATTATAAAAAAGATTTCTTTATTACTTATTAAGTCTTTGTTACCTTTACTTATTAGTAGTTTTCACTTAATTGCAATTGAGGAAAAGTATTAATTTATAAATAGCATACTTACCATGAAGACATAAAAATCTTCTTATAAGAAAATCCACGTCGTGCTCACATTTTTGGCAATAGATAGGTCATAATAAATTGCTATTGAGATACTACATGAATGAAATAATTTTACCAACCTCTACTGACATATATTACTTGGATTAGAGCCAAAGTAGGTAATAGAATAATGTTTATGTCTAACTATTAAATTCATATTATATTATTGTTGCTTGACGAACACAGCATTCAATATATTATATCACAAGTTGATCTGATTCTCATAAAACATCCAACAAGTGGATAACCTTAGAGGTTTCTCTCAATCAAGTTCATTAGATTTCATTTTTGATAAGTATGCCTTCAACTCTTCGAAGTGACTTGATCACCTTAAATTGTTATAGATAATTATATAAACCCCTTAAAATAGGCCACCAGGTCCAGCTGTCAGTGATGTCTTAGTCTTTAAGTTACATTAACATCGAAACTGGGTAATGTTTTATAAAACAGTGTCTTATTGAGATGGGCCATTGGGGTACTTATCTGGGAAATAGTGCAGACAAGTTTATTATTGTTCAACTATGATGTAATAAGTTGTCAACGTAAACTTGTGTGTGCCTTTTGTCTTCATACATCTTTATTATTCTTGATCATATTTTTCCATGGGGGCCACTGGTACTGGCACTAGTAGTAAACTTATTACTTGATTTCAAAATCTCCTTAGTTTATATAAGCATTGCTAAAAATTTGTCTCTGCTATCTCGTGATAAAAGACAGTGTGATTACTCTCTTTTATTCTTTTTATGGTGCATTCACTATTAACTCATTGAGTACTGTCATTATAGACACAATTAACGAACAATAGGTTGCGGTCACCGGTGTCCTCACAGTATTTGACAGTATAATTCATTGTACTCCAATTACTATTACTATGTATACCTATTTTTCAGTATGTGCATTAAATTAATAATTCGAGGGATAAATAGATACAGAAGAAGGGAAGTAAACGTTGGGAAAATGCCATAACATTTATTAACCCTGTTCCTGTATTATTCCTACTGTTTTACGGGCCGTGGTGTTAGTTGTGGCTGCTGAGTTAAGCTCCAGATAGTATAAAAGCATAGTGTTAGAAAACTTTCCATCATAAAATTCTGATTGTGTCTAAAGTATTACAGTAAGTTCTTCACCTATCCTCCTATTAGGTACTTATAAAACTTAAACAAATTATTTCCGCTTTAGTGAAAGCGACTTGTCTAATATTTTGTATCTTTATGTGATTTGTATCCTGCATATGTCTGATGTCTATATCAAAATAATAATTGAAACAAAGATTACTATTAAAATTCTTTATTTGGCAAATAATTGATATTATGACTAGGTACATTATCACAGTGATAAAATTAATTATTAATTACATATTACAAATAAATAATAAAATCAAATTATATAAATGACCGATCACACCTGTCTGTCCACTCATCCATGCACCAGTTGATTAATATGTAAAATGATTACATGCCATGCGAAAGTAGATTTCCAAAATTCATATATACTTAGACCTGCCTCATCATCTCGCCAACTATATGATACATCTTGCCAAGTGACTGTAGAGTATAATAGATAACAAAATCGAGAAACATTAGAAGTAGCAGTAGTAGAAAAGTAAAAAGCATTATTTCAAAAAGAACTGATTTGACGATTTTCAATTTTCAATTTTGACGCGAATTTTCAGTTTTTAGACATAACTGATTACTTTGCATGGGTTGTATAACGTTATCTCCTATCTATCGAGTCTAGTCGTCGAGTTGCGTCAGACTCGCGACTCCTCTATTTATCCAATGCTGTTCCTTCTTGTCAGTCTCCAGCGTGATGTACATGACGAAGTTGCTGGAGTGTCCCGTGGTCGCCAGTACACCCTTCCTCTCACTTGTCTTGTAAATAGGACAGAAGTAACAGGGGGGAGGCTGGAAGTCAGCTATCAAAGCCGGTTTGAACCAGATTGTAGGGATAGTATCAAACAAGATTTTGGGATAGGATTCATCCATTTTCATCGTTACACGATTCCATCTTGCGCCCTCGAGGAATAGGCCCTGTGCGGAAGAAATAGTTTTAATATTAATTTGTTCATTTGAGAACTGTGTCAGTCAACAGTACTTTATAGAGTCTGTAGTTTGCTCACAAAACTAAGCTCTGTGCCATCTTCGGTACTACACATTGCGGGATTATAAACGCTTTCAATTTTGATTGATGCTAAAATATTAAACCGTGCAAATCTGTGTAAATCCGTGCGTGTCATACATGCAATGATAGCTATGTGCCAGCAACTTGGCACGATACATTCCCATGCATAATGCGACTCACCCATATGAACACACTGTGTTCCTCGTCTCCTTTATCCATTTGGAAAGATTGCTGCATGCGATTTAAAGACAACACTTAAATATAGACGATAGTATCGAAATACAATAATGATTAGTTTTATTTATACCACTGAATTGACCCTAACAGCCATTTAAGCATTATTGATTTATCATTAACGCTCAGTGTGTCGCTGAAATAGGTATGTGGTTGTAGACTTATTGTTACCTTGCAATAGACCCCGTATTCGGGTTCCTCTTTAGTGTCCGACTCCATGCTGGTAATGGTGAACTCAAAGTGGACCTGGTCAATGGGGATCTTGTTGTGTCGTGAGTAGTTCTGCAGCACGCCCGTCAGGAACGACTGCGTGAAGTAAAAACCGGAGATCCAGAACACCACTGGAGGACCCTCGTCTATCCAATCTTGTAGAAAGCTTAGCCTGGCAACATTATAGATTAACAATCAAATAAATTATAGGCCTTGTAGTTTATTTTTTTACCTGCAGAATATTAATCTAGTTTTATTGTGGTGGTTGGTACCTATCTAATTTTAACATTTTAATAAATATCTTTCCAGACTCCCAACATGACGGATAAGGTGTTGGACGAGAAAACCTGGCCGCAGGAGGCCGAGGCTGCCATCAATGACATCCGCAAGCACGTGAAGGTTGCTTCCATATCCTCGCAACTGCACAACAACAACCAGCGCATCTACATCAACCTCACCACGCTGGAGAGCACAGACTACTGCGTCGAGATGTCAGGCAACGGCTTCAGGGTCGTCGGCAGAAAGTATGATGACACCACTCTGTCCAGCATAGAGAACATGAACTACGAGACTCCGTACGCTCTGCTGAACAACATCAGCCAGAAGTACAGGGAGTCCTTCGGCGGCGAGCTCATGAACAAGCTGCTGGACCTGGCTGCCCGCAACTCTGAAGGCTGAACCCGTGGCGGTACGCTGTAGTCCTGTGTTCAACGTAGGCCTATCCACGCCCTCATGAAAAAGTTGTTTGCTTGAGCAAATGCATTTGGTTATTACTTGATCTATAATTGTTTGTACGCATAAATATTGTGTGTAATGTTGTATGTAAAAATAAGTTTATTCAAATATTGAATGTTCACATAAATATCAAAAGTATTATAAGTAAGGGAACTTGAACAAACCAGGGTTTAACAAGTCGATTTGGTAATTATATTGTGAACTTTATCGATTTTTTATTGTTGAAATTTTACTGTGGAAATGTGTCAAAATATCACCTGTCAGTATTCGCGTGTGCTATAATAAATGTTTATATAATACTAAGTTTATGTAACTGTGTAGAACTTTAGTATTACCAAGGTGTTTAGTGGTGAATGCAATCTCTGTTAGCATTACACTGTTAGGGAATATATTATCTTTCTTGATACAAAATTGATTATTGTGTGCGTGTAAAGCGCCGGGTTACTTTGTCGGTGCAAGTACCTAATATTGGATTATTGTAAACAATTGTTATACAAACTTCCCCTTGGTTATTAAGTTGTGCAGACTAGATCGCATTCTTGCGCTAGATTAGTTTTAGAACATGAGCTCTCACTCAATGTGGTACTGTCAAGCGCACTTAGACGAGGGCAATGCGACACAACCGAGCACGGTAGCTTACAAATTGCGCGCTTCCTGCGTGACCTACTGTCGGCTGACTTCTTAAGTACCGCAGGAAAGATTCGATTCATTCATTACGTAACTACGGGGCGCCACTATAATATGAAAACGAGCCCAAACAATAACACTAGTCGATGTTTCTCAAACAATAGATTTATCAACAAGGCCAGTATAGTTATAAAACACGAGCAATATGAACATACTTATCATAGTTTGTGACTAATGTGAGAATCGAGTTTTTCGAATCCGTGTGGTATAAAGCAGCTATTGTGTACTGGTACCTACCGCGGCGTCGCGGATCGCTTGCAGTCTTGTGTGCTTTACTTGGCATTTTATTATTAGTACAATCGTCGACGGACTGAGTACAAACATATTGTGTATCTCTTAGTTTGGGTGCGTGATACCAGTAGCGCACTATTTTATTGTCATTTGTTATAAATTTATGGCCTATAGACGTTACATTTTCATGGTAATAAACTATTTCGTCTGTCTATAGACAGTACCTATATTTGCATATTGTAAACTTTGAATAGATGTCGGGTTATTATTTGTGTTCGCGGCCTAAATTTTATAGCTTTTTTACACAAATGTGTAATATTCTCGTGGCAGCTACTGCCGCATGCACCCAAACTAGCATCTCTTTAGACGTAATATACACAATTAGCGTAGTGAACTTGTTTGTGATAGTAAAATAAATTCATATATGGATATTGTTCGTTTTATTACAACAATTGCTTATGTAAAGAAACAAAGTGGACGTAAATGTGGGATCATTAGGAAAAGTAGCGTATGATGTCTGTTTGGGGAGAACGTAGGTATGACAAAAGACATTCAGTTAGTGTCAACGCCTAACAACTTGAGATCAGAAAATACAGGTACCTACAAAGACTAATCACAACTTAATTTGACTATTGGACCGCAGAATCTGCTGAAACTGTATCGCCATACGAAATCCATTGTGTTTGGTTGGTGAGGACGAGTTGTTCAAGGCATTAAAAAGTCCTAACTAATAAATCTTTTTATAAATGTGAATATCATAAAAATGTGGTATCTATGGAGATGAATAGATGTTTAATAGTCTACATCTACCTACACATGTTGAGGAATCGCACCACGTGGTGGCGCAACAATCATCGTTCGCATTCCCTTCCAAGCTACAAGCCGGCTCGAGTAATAAGGAATTTTAGTTAACGTTTTACAACTAGATGGCGTTGTACATTGGGACCGGTTTTCTGAATCGCGGTGTTAAGATTCTCCGGCGTTGAATGACCCTCGCAGCGCGCTTGTCTCAACTCATACTTACCTGGCGTAGGGGACACCGTGATCATGAAGGCGGTTCCCCCAGGGCGAGGTCCTATCATTGCACTGCGATAGGGTTGACCCCTGCGATTATCCCTAATGTGGATAACTCGGACGCGTTATTAAGAAATCCTTAAAACTACAATTAGGAACATTAACAACATTTCAAACAAATCTTATACGATCGCAATAATAATCATTTTAGGTTAATAGAATTATTATTCTTATCCATAATTCTATTAACGTACATCAAATGTAATTGAGAGTGAGACATCCGAATCCTTTAAAATGTAATTATCAAATTAAAATGTAAATGGGCAGTAAAGTAAAGATCAGTGTTAATAATTAAGACATGGGTGGATACTTGTATATGTAAATATTAAAATGACATTATTCGTTAAATGTTACATTTATTTTATTACACATAACAACATCACGCCTTTTATCCTCGAAGGGCAGAGGTGCACATTATGCCACTGTACAATGTAACACCCACTTTTCACTATTTATGTTATAAGTCCCATGTAATAGGGGGTGAGCCTATTGCCATTTACCGGGCACAGTTCCAGACTCCGTGCTACTGCTGAGATTTTTTTAAAAACCCAGTAATACTTTGCCCGACCCGGGAATCGAACCTGAGACCCCTTGCCCGGCAGTCGCACTTGCGACCACTTGGCCAACGAGGCAGCATTTATTTTATTTATTCGTTATTTAAAAATATTAGCAATCATGCTGGCATGTATTGCCAACATTATAACGAAAATATTTTGTTCTGTAAAAATTAAACGATCCTTCCTTACTGCCTAGCTACTTTCGACTAGGTAATGTTGTAAGTATTACTGGACTGTACAATTTTATTTTAACTAAGAGTTTCCTTTCTCTTGTATAGAAGCACTATTTTTATGGATTGTCAGTGTGCATATGTGAGCACCATGTTAGACTATAAGATTTTTTTTTGTTTTTTTAATTTAGTAAGGTTTGTAATTAGTACCTACCTATAATGCGTCAAGCGTGTCTATGCATTGTTCTCACATATACGTACACTACGTACAGTATTCGAATATGTATCAGAGACATTGTAGAACATACTTTTTTAAAAAGAATAACGAATGGAGTTTCTTGCTCGTTCTTCTCCATTCGAATCTACATTTTGGAATGAGCACCTAGCTTCACCTAGCTTCACTGACGGACTGACTGACAGACTATTATTTATCTTGTATTTGTTGACGTTTCAAAAGTACCAAATATACCGTTTATATTTAATTGAAATAAATGCTTTGACTATGACTATGTAGTTTAGTTTAGGCCTTTGTCCAGCACTGGACGTCTTTCGGCAGTTGATGAAGATGATGTAGTTTGATGGCCACAAGCCACACTGTATGATATGATAATAGTCTATTTTTAACGAAAATACATTTGAATAAACTTACCGTGACAATAAATCAGACACGTAAGACCCTAGTGGCTTCATAGATGGATAGGACTTTGACATCCAGACTCCAGGCACTTTGCCTTTGATGAAGGCGTCGTTGCACTCCTCCAGCTCCGGGCTCATGATGGCCAGACCCTGAGATGCCATGTGGACACCATGCAGGGTGCGTTTTACCACGGACAGGAGACGGTTGTAGCGGATCAGCTCCTGGTAGGGGAAATTATTATGACACGTGATGCAACTTTAAAATGAAAACGGAAAAAAACATGGAGATCAGGAGATATCATTAAGAGGAGTAGGATAGGTAAATAGGTTCTTAACTTCCGTGTGCATTCCAAGATACTCCTACTAAAAATAAGCTTAATTTTTCGGTGTTTTTCTTTGTAGGTAGCAATATTAACTAGTTGTAAACCGACTGACACGAGTTGCAGCAGTTCCCAACCGGAGGCAGACTTATTCTCCAAAATGAAAAGAGATGTTATTTTCGTATTTTATGGAACAGACAAATTACTTCGAGGGGTAACGGACTATTTGGTTTAAGCGACATTTTGGGCGATATTGAGTTATATATATATTCGGAATCAGCGAATTTTTCTCCATCGAATATATATAATGACTCAATATCGCCCAAAATGTCGCTTAAACCAAATAGCCCGTTACCCCTCGACTTGATAGTAAGCTACTAACGGACACCCGTAGCGCCAAACGAGTTAGAAGTGCGTCGTAGGCCTAGGGACTACGTTGAGTTGTCCACGGCATACTTATATATAAAATAAAAGCCCCGTCAAAATCGGTTCAGCGATTCCAGAGATTGGCCAGTGCAAACATACAGACAGACTGACAAAAATTATAAAAACTGTTATTTTGGCATATAATATGTCGTATGTATGTATATTCATATGCATGTAGTAAAAAGCGGTTAGGGATTTGAATATCACAAACAGACTCCAGTTTTATAGATGTGGATGGTAGGTGGGGGCGCTCGGAACCTGTTTGAGCACGGTGTTCATGCTGTTGTAGTAGAGCACGGGGTACTTGTCGGCCACGGCCTGCACGTCGTACAGCGCGGGCAGGCGCTCCATCATGTCGCGCGTCAGCTCCACCACGCCGCCCCCCTCGCCGCCCTCCGCGCCGCCCCCCATCACTATGTGCGTCTGGGTCAGGAGCGTGCCGAATAGCAACTGTGGACACAAACCATAATCCATGCAATCCTCACCTATCCCTTCTAGAGAAAAACTTGAGTACCTACTTTTCTTCAATTTCTAAACTTTTTTAACCGGGGAAAATCATCGAATGACTTCTCCCGCCTGGGTGAGACGGAAGGTAATGTCAGTAGTATCCCAGTAATCCGTTAGGTTCTACGCGACTCCGAATCGGCATCAGTCCTATTGGGGGGGCCCAATAGGACTGACACAGATGGGGATCTGTGGTGGTCTGATAGCTCTTTGAGGCGCGCGCGGAACGCTTGGCGCCGTACGCTCGGGTCTGGTTCTGGTCGGACGGGGAGCCACCCATGCTCGCCGTCCGCAGGCCCGCGCTTACGGTGGCCGGAGATCGTCCCGCGATCCCCGACGCCCGGTGTGTCCTTCGCGATGGCTGGGTTGCGAGGAGGCAGTGCTTCGCTGCCTCATGCGTCCCGCCTCCTCCTTAGCTAGCATAACTGCTTCGCAAAAGGAGGAAACGGCATCCCAGTCCCCCTCGCTCCGCATCATGACCCGCATTAGGTCCGGACGCGAGAGGTCGCCGTTGCCGATCACGTCCCTGAGGGCACGGCGGTGCTCACTGTGTGCTCTACCGTGTCCTCAGGGATAAACCACAACTTAAAAATACACGCGCGAAAAAGATCGTCGAACCACCATGCCGTGTACTTACTCGCTCGTCTATCACTCTTAAAGTATTTTGCAAATAAAAGTATTGTAATATACAGAGTCACATCTACCTTCATTTCGATGTTAGTAGTCTTTACGAAAATGTAAATAATGATGAATTTAGAGTTGACTATAAACCAGATTAAATGAAGTGTATGTACCGCGGCAGTCTCATTGTTGTCCTTGGTGATGTCCGCGTTCTCGTGCAGGCCGAAGACCTCCGGGTTGGTGATCATGGGCAGCGCGCGGATGTGCTCCAGCACCGAGTTGTAGTCCATGCTCGGCGGCATGCGGTACTCTCCGCTCGGGGAGAACGAGTAACTGGGACCAGAAACATGTGGAACGTACAAATTCGCTTACTCATCACACTCAGACCAGGGCGGACTCTTGAAACCAATGTCAATGTCAATGCAATTTCAATCCAATAAAATCTCAATTATTATTCAATGTTAAACCCCTATCGTAACTGTTGAAATAGCATTCAGAGTGCGGAATATAAAGCCAAACTCAATACCACTTAGTTCATTCAATGTCCACGCAATACGGATGCAATGGGCGCTAGTGTTGCAACTCAAGTGTACGAAATTACACACTGTCAATGTCGATCGATCGGAATTGGATTCAAGAGTAAGCTCCCACGTCAACGTTTACTGTAAGTAAGTATAGCAATTTGACATTAAAGAAATTATATAAAACTAGCTTGGCAGAAGCCAATTCGCCCGCATTCCCGTGGGACAAAAAATAGCTACGTCTTATTCCAGACCATAAATCTACCACTTTTCCAAGTTTCATTCCGATCCCTTCAGTCGTTTTAACGTAATCCTTACTAATATTATAAATCGGAAAGTGAGTTTGTTTGTTTGTTTGTTCCACTTTCACGCCGTAACTACTAAACCGATTGCTTTGAATTTTAGCAGACGTAAAGTTAGAAGTCCGGATTAAATTATAGGGTACTTTTTAACCCGGAAAAATTAGATTATCCCGAGGAAAAACAAAAGTATTGGTATAGATGGCGCTGTGTGTATTGGTATATGTCACATAGGCTACTTTTTATCCTTTTGTGACGCGAGCGAAGCCGCGGGTAAAAGCTAGTATACATATAAATATTAGTTCGATAATGATTAAGAACTTCTCACTCGGGCACGGTAGTAACTTGATCGTTGTAGAAGATGGAGAGCAGCGACATGATGAGCCGTCGGTCCTTGTCGTCGGTGACGCGGCCGCCATAGTTGCACTCCCCGGCCAAATAGTTCAGCGCGTCGAACGGAGTCTCCGCGTAGTCCGTCAGGAACATCTGATAGCCACACGGAACTGAGACAATCTCAAATCATATGACAATTCCATCGGAAAATTATATTAATGATTATTCCACAAATTATTGATAATTTGGGGAAGTATAGGTAAGTTTGGATAAGTCTATCACTCTTAAAGTATTTAATCCTTATATATCCTTGAGGATACGGTCATCTAACTGAAGGTAAGGTTTTTTTTTTGTAATAACTATTATGATACATCTATCTATGTATCTAGTTGTGTATCTAATTCAGAAAGGCTCTACTAGTTTCAATTCACGACGGGACGTTTATTCACGACCAGAGTCAGCGCGACATCGAGAGATCAAACATAGAACTTACGAGTTTCACAGTTGGGTTTAGAAAAACGTCTAAAAATCAGTAATAAACAGAAATATAGCTAAATACATCAGTAAATAATTATATACATACCTGCAGCTGCATGACACAGATCCTGAGGTCACTCTCATTGAACTCGTACTGTATGTTCCACCCGAGAGGTCCGAAGGCCCTCCTCTCCTGCACGATGGCGTGGAAGAAACACAACGCGTACAGCAGTCGGCGCCAGTCCTCCGTGCGGGGACACGAGATGTAGAACTCAGGGTCGCAGATAGGGTCCGATATGTACGAGCGGTATATGTTGTTTTTCAAACCCTTTGGAGCTTCGTTTGTCATTTTAACACCTAGGATATAAAGTCAGATGTAGGTATACATTACCACAGTGTTTAAAAAGTCAGGTAAAAATTGGATATAGACTACTGTGATCCAGATTACAAATTAATTAATTATCTACGGATTCTAAGACCACTGACAATTTCATAACTTCCATGGGCGTAGCTAGCGCCGTATCAATTATACGGGGCCCCCGGACTACAGGGCCCCCAACGTGCCTAAGCAAAAATTAATAAAAACTTCCCAATTTTTATTCTATTTCAGTAATCACAAAAGTAAAAAAAAAACGTTTTTCCCGCGTAAAGCACGCGTTCAAACGTTGACAGAAACTTAAGAAACAAAAGTAATTAAGGTCCGCTAATGAGGACAGAGGGAGTTGCCTGAAAAGATTTTCGATTTTCCCACAAATAATAAGAATTTTATGTAAAAAAAAGTCTTGTGAGCAATGTTTACTCTTCGAGGGTCCCTAAACAAATTTTTATACGGGGTCTCCCCAAGGTACGCTACGCCACTGATAACTTCTAACTTGACGATGAAATTGGGCGAAAAAATTTTTAGATTATTGTATTCTAGCTTATCCTTACCATTCTGCAAGACAGTAACAGGGAAGGAAGTGCTAGGGTATGACGTCAGCCAGCAGCGGAAGTTGGCGTGAGTGCTCTGTGGCACGATGACCTCGGCACAGATCCGCTCCAGCTCCCCCATCCATGACGTCATCACGTGGCAGTTCTGCAGCACCACCCAGCCGCCTGTCACTATCGCTTTAGATATCATACCTGATGCTATCGGACCCTGGGGGAGGATACAATATTTTAGCATTAGCAGTATTCAGTATTAGCTCGTATTCAGTCATTGCTGAATATATTATTCTACTGAGCTCGATCTAGCTCTGTGTGTTTAACTACTTTATGGTTATCTTCATAGCGCACTCTGAAATAATCGGACACTAAAAACCCGTTGTTATTTATCATGCATGGGGTGACTAATGCCGGAATACTGAAACGTTACTCAATTTTAAGTCGTGCTTAAATATAGTGCCATCTCTGTCATTTTACAAAGAATTTGTAGAGATAGAACTATACTTAAGCACGACTTAAAATTGAGTAGCGTTTCAGTATTCCGACATAAGCTCTATATACATAATATGTATTTACATTTATTTAAACGTTTATGTCTACAACATGTTAAAAACAGATTTAAGGAGCAGAAAAAGGAATAGAAATTAATCGACATCCGACATTTCATCCATTCCACGTAAATAGTGCACTTTATGGTAATCAAGACAACTGTATTATTTCAAAAACACATTTTCTTCAATCGTCTCACCTGTCCTTGTCCAAGAGATATAGTTTCGAAGCTGACGACTTTCTTCTCCGTGGCGAACTTAACAAGCCCCGACATGGGGTCGGAGCCTGGCGACAGGATGAAGATGAGAGGTGAGCAGCAGTTGCTGTCGTTGTAGGACTTGTCCAGGTCGAAGGGAGGCGGCTCTATGTAAGTCTGGCCCATCTCCTTCACCACGTACTGCTGGACTAGAGGGATCAGCTTGTCTGGACGGATGCATCTAGTTGGGAAGGGGAATAAGTCAGTAAACAAAATATTATAATATGAAGTAATATGGCCTTCTTGCGAACTGTTAGGACGGCGCGCCAGGAGGCCCTTTTGGAAATGACACCACAAGGTCTGCTAATCATTTCTTTAATTTACACTTCACAACTATTGACTTACAATAATTACTGTGGGATATGGTACGGTGCTAGTAGTTGACCAACTTTTTTGAAGTGACTATACAGTAACTAAGACGTATATTTTATCCTACATGGCCAGTGGTGGGGAGTTGTCCCTTAGACAGCAAATATGCTTGCGCGGGTAAGTGCCACAGGATCTACATCCTGTGGGAAGATCTAAACAATCCCTATGGATTGCAATCTCTACGGATTAAGTAAAAACGCGGGTTACTCACGTGAATATACTGAGAAAAGCTCTACTAGTTTCGAACCACAGAGGGGTTCTTCCTCATGAGCAGCGTGCGCGGTCGCGGCGACGTCGCGCAGCTCACTGGCTGGCGTTGGCGCTCGCCTCGGTGTTGCCACCTGCGCTGCGAGCCCAACGCGCCCTCTGTCGGACACTACGAGCGTTTGCTTCCAACTCCGGCAGCGCGTTGGACGAAGCTAAAGCGCACGGTACGTTCACCAGCGGCGCGGGTCGTGGGTTCGATTCCGGGTTCGGCACAAAGTCAGTGTTGCATATAACGCTTACTGTGTCACACTCCAGACTGGAGACGCTGTGGATCGACGAAGACTCCAAGCTCGGCTTCCACGCGGGTGGCAGTGCCCAGCCACCATCCCTGTTGAAGCACGGTCGTCGGCTGATCTCGATGGCCTCTCGCACTTTTCGCGGAACGAAGTATTTTTCTCTCGCTAGTACGGAGACCTTATCAAAACGTATGAAGTGAGCCGCGTCCGTACCACAAACATGTTCAGCCACTGCCGATGCCTGGATGTCCATCTTCTTCACGCTGCGTATATGTTCCTTTAGCCTGGTTGTGATGTTGCGACGAGTTTCCCCGATGTAACTCGAGCCACAGTCGCACGGTATTATGTACACTCCGGGTACAGCCAGTGGATCCTTATCTTTAGGTGAGCGTAGTAGTTGTCTTAGCTGACCGGGTGGGCGGAAGATCGTCCTGATGCAGTATTTACGGCGAAGCAGGTGTCCGATTCTGTCGGTTACTCCTTTCACGTATGGTAAGAACGCTGGAGTCCGTTCCGCAACTGCCGGTCGGTGCACGGCAGTATACAATTCACCACTGAAGAAGAGAGAGAAGGGATGTTGCCGTTCTTGGATGTCCTCGTAAGACGAGAAGAAAATGGTCGATTGTCACACACAGTGTATCGTAAACCGACACACACGGACCGGTACTTGCGAGCTGACTCACACCATCATCCCTCCCATCTAGCCGCTGTTCCCCGGACCTTGATAAACCGGGCGCTGAGTCTATGCGATCCCCAGTATATTGACGACGAATTTCACCACTTAAAACGGGTACTGGAAAACAATGGATACAACTGGCGTCAATGTACTCGACTTGCGAGCAGCTCGAGTAGGAAGCGACCGGCAGTTGCGGAACGGACTCCAGCGTTCTTACCATACGTGAAAGGAGTAACCGACAGAATCGGACACCTGCTTCGCCGTAAATACTGCATCAGGACGATCTTCCGCCCACCCGGTCAGCTAAGACAACTACTACGCTCACCTAAAGATAAGGATCCACTGGCTGTACCCGGAGTGTACATAATACCGTGCGACTGTGGCTCGAGTTACATCGGGGAAACTCGTCGCAACATCACAACCAGGCTAAAGGAACATATACGCAGCGTGAAGAAGATGGACATCCAGGCATCGGCAGTGGCTGAACATGTTTGTGGTACGGACGCGGCTCACTTCATACGTTTTGATAAGGTCTCCGTACTAGCGAGAGAAAAATACTTCGTTCCGCGAAAAGTGCGAGAGGCCATCGAGATCAGCCGACGACCGTGCTTCAACAGGGATGGTGGCTGGGCACTGCCACCCGCGTGGAAGCCGAGCTTGGAGTCTTCGTCGATCCACAGCGTCTCCAGTCTGGAGTGTGACACAGTAAGCGTTATATGCAACACTGACTTTGTGCCGAACCCGGAATCGAACCCACGACCCGCGCCGCTGGTGAACGTACCGTGCGCTTTAGCTTCGTCCAACGCGCTGCCGGAGTTGGAAGCAAACGCTCGTAGTGTCCGACAGAGGGCGCGTTGGGCTCGCAGCGCAGGTGGCAACACCGAGGCGAGCGCCAACGCCAGCCAGTGAGCTGCGCGACGTCGCCGCGACCGCGCACGCTGCTCATGAGGAAGAACCCCTCTGTGGTTCGAAACTAGTAGAGCTTTTCTCAGTATATTCACGTGAGTAACCCGCGTTTTTACTCTACGGATTGCTTAGATCTTTGTTAACAACAATGTAAAGGTTTTTTAAAAAAATCTCAGTACTAGCACGGAGTCTGGAATTGTGCCCGGTATATGGCAATAAGCATTATACATGGGACTCATAACATAAATAGTGAAAAGTGGGTGTTACATTGTACAGTGGTATAATGTGCACCTCTGCCTACGCCTTCGGGGATAAAAGACGTGATGATATGTATATATGTATAATGTATGTACAATCTAAAATCAAAATTCTGTTAAAATGGCTACCAGTTGGACACTAAACCTTTGAGTGATTCACGTAATAACTATCCGTAGCAAGTGAAAAATAAATAAAAACTAAAGTGATCCATAGAATATTTGAAAGTTAGATAAGGCATTAATCAGTCAATTTCAAACAGAAACGAAAACGCCAACTGACTAAGACAAAATGTCAGTAATATATTTATAGTTAGTTCCCTGGTACCTGAGTACGATGAGCTTTGGTATCCCCTCGAGCTCGTCGAAGGGCGCCGGCATGGGGTTCTCGTGTGGCGCCGACAGGTCGTAGAAACTTTTCCATTTGCTTACGTTGTTCTCGAAGTGGGTCCGGAAGTTTTTTAGCCTAAAAAAAAAATTAAGAACAATTGGTTTAATTTTTTTTACATTCGATGGGCCGATGTTTGACCACTATATCGAATGATAACAGAATCAATGAAGTATGCTGTGGACGTTATTAATCGAAGAAAGCAATGGGTTAGCATTTTATTCAAACAGATTTCCATTCTGTATTATTATTAGTTCTTCACTACCTATATTTTATAACGTAAGTCTATGATTTTCTCATGTATTGTGGGTGAGAAATCAAATCAAATCAAATTTATTCGCAAAAAAAGAAATACCATTTGTGGATCCCAGAAAGAGTTGTTCGTGCGAAAATCGAAACCTCCACAAGCAGAAGCACCGAAAATTGCGCAGCTAACATACCATGTCATAGTTGACAGAAACCACTTATACTGACGCATTCAAGTTACTGCTCCTGACGACCTCTGACCAAGCCTTCTCAGACAGCCACCCAGCCGCGGGGTTCTCGTATGGATTGTCCAGCGCCACTCCACCAGTCAGGAGGAACGTCACCAAGTCGTCGTCCAACTTACCCTGGAAGACCACACACAACATGTATTGTCTCTTTTTTAACCGACTGCAAAAATAATGAGGTTCTCAGTTTGATCTGATTGTATGCACGTTTGTGCGATTATCTGAACTGATTTTGATGCAGTTTTCACAAGTAATTGTTACACTTACGGGAAGGGTTAAGTATATTAATTAGCCGACCTAAAAAAAGGGTTAAAGTCGGATTTTTTAAACGTAACTTATAAGAGAATTATTACACTTCTTGTCATCCTAGTCTCTTTTTACCACTTACGAGTATATTATAAAGTCCTTTATAACAAGACAATGGGCCACACTAGTGCAAATGGCAAATACCGAGTGGGTTTCCAGGTAGAAATATATATATTACCATATTACCGGGGTGTACTTTTTGTTTTATCTTCTTTTTCAACCTTTTGGAGATTTGGAGTTTGAGGATCGTTGGGGATTCAAGAATTGGGGAGATTGGAGAAGAGGAGGGTAATTAGGCTTCCGGTAACCTCACTCACACGACGAAACACAACGCAAGCGTTGTTTCACGTCGGTTTTCTGTGAGACCGTGGTATCACTCCGGTCGAGCTGCCATTCGTGCCGAAACATGGCTCTCCCACACTTATATAGGTTGATGATTTTTATCTGTATTTTTATGTGTATGTAATAGCTACTTCCATGCGGCTTCACCCGCTCTGTTTGGCGCTTATTAATCATGGAGTGAGCCTATAGACTACCTCGATAAATAGACTATCCAACACTTCGATCAACAATAACAACTAGATATCGGGTCGGCGCAAGAAAATCGTCTCGCCAAATAAGAGCTCACTTGAGAAGTGAGCTCTTATTTTGTTTAGTATGCTCCAAACACGGCCAACGTTCTCACGTCTCACGATGCCGCAGTGCGTGGAAAAATTATAACCGAAAAAGCAGTATAACGGCCGGAGTGTCTTACTTTTGATAAGTACATAAAGTATAAGTTATATTTTAAGCTTTTGAACTAGTAAATAATAGCAAATTAGACAAAATTACCAATTATAAACCAACGCCACCAATGTTTGTGCGTGTGTTGGCGATCCCTTGGCCAAGCCGCGCCAACACGCGCACAAATATTTGTTTAAACAGAACAGTGGATGCATGGAGTCGATTTGTATTGTAAAATAAAATTGTATTGTAACCTGATTGGAAAAGAGTATCTAACCTATAGAGTTTCTTGCTTGTTCTTCTCCATAGGAATCTACACCTTGGAATGAGCAAATAGCTTCACTTTTAAATTTATATTGTTGACGTTCAAAAGTGCCTTCCTGGTCTAACTGAAATAAATGATTTTGACTTAGACTTTTAATGATAAAGTAAATAAACATATCATATACAAAAACGTACCGCTAATAAAAATAAGTGATGTATACTAAGATCCCGAAATCTTAATTATCATATTATAAAATTATTTTAGTGTCCAACGCGACTCCATACATACCTCTTGTAGCAAAATTCGAAATTTGAAGAAGCAAAACGAAACAAAACAAAACGATATAGATCGCAAGACAATAATGGAAAAAATATCTTTATTTGTTCAAACTTAAGGTTGAATTCAAACTAGATATTGTATAACTTATGTCTTTTAATTTCTACATGACAGGAGTTTTACTTAATACTTTTCTCGTCTTATGTGACGAATGGTCGTAAGTATTAGATAATATTTTGACGATTTATGACTGTATTATTAGGTCCCATGGTTGTTATTAGGTTGAACTTAAAACTATTTTAAAACATTTTCCTCCGTTTGTTATATTTTTACTATTATTATTCACACGGACAGAACTGGAGCTTGATTTTGTACGTAACCCTTTATCTAGTTGCTATTGTTGATCGAAGATCCAACACAAAAATAATTATTCAAATAGGACCAGTGTTCCTGAGATTAGCGCGTGCTAACAAACAATCTCTTTAGCTTTATAATTATAATAAGTATAAGAGTTAGGGAGGGTAGGGAGGCCTTTGCCCTGCAGTGGGAGCATGGCTAAAATAAAATAAATAATAAGATTTACGCAATTTCATTTAAAGTCATTCTTAAATTAGGTGACCTACCTTAGACCTCAATATACCGAGCGTTAGAACGAGTGAGAAGATGAGCTTGTCCTTCTCAAACAGACTCCGGCAGACGTTGCCGTAGATACTCTTGGTGAAGAACGCGTTCAGACCTTCCAGCCGCTCCGACAGCTCGTCAGACTTCGGGGAGTTTAGTATAGCCTGGTTGTATAGGTTTATGAACCTGGAAATTATGGGCGAATTAATTTTTGTTGACGTTCAAAAGTGCCTTCCTGTCTTACTTTTGAATCCAATTCCGATCGATTGGCATTGGTATTGTGAAATTTTGAACTTTGAGTTGCGACACTAGCGCCCATTGCATCCGTATAGCGTGGATATTTAATAAACTAAATAGTATTGAGTTTAGCTTTATATACCATACTCTAAATGCTATTTTAACAGCTATGCTAGGGGTTGTATAGTTTTGATATTAAATAATTATCGAGATATTATTGAATTGACATTGAGATTGGTTTAAGTAAACCAAGAGTAAGCACCCTGGTCTAATTAAAATAAATGACTTTGACTTCATTCTATGTAAATATCAGGTTTGCGCAATTTGCGCATATTATACGCAATGGTTGCGCAAACAATACAATCTTGACTAGCACAAAATACTGTTTTGAGAACTGCAAAAGGTTAATTAGTAGTATCACCGTAATTAAAACAGATACTGACGCTGATTTTATAGGTCTATATGTCTGTAAGCACAATTTTCTTAAAGCCCAAACTGTGAAATATGTAAATTTAATCTTATGCTCTGTAATTATACTTTGGAAATAAAAGACTAAATTGTGTTAAATCACTCACCAAACCAATGAATACTGGTACATAGGGTCGATATTGGCGAGATCAGATATACAAAAGAATAGCACGGAGCTATGTTGTGACACGGGCACATACAGGAGCCTGGCCTTGTCTATCTCGGCCTCCGTGATGGTGGCGGCCGCCTGCTTGGCCTCGATCTCGATGGAGAGTACCCTCGAGGATGACAGGATCAAGTTCGCTGACTCATCTTCTAGGATGTTGCCGGCTGATGATAGCACCTGGAACCAAGAGCAGAATACATTGATATATACTTTCTTTTTCCGTAAAAAACTATTTGGGCAGCAGTGTTTTTTAATAAAACTGAACCTTTGAAGCTGTGTGTCTCCAATTCGCCTGCCAATTGCAAAGATTATGTCATGGTTTGATATATCATTGTTGACATAATATTATTACACTGTAACCACCTCACCTCAAGAATTTTATCCTCGATCTCCTTGAGCGTCCTCTTATTGTGAGCACCTTCAACGATGAGCTGATTCTTCTTCAGCTCTAGCTCTGGTCTGTCCTGTGCAACTACGATACCCAGTAACTGATCTTGCAGACCTTGTGGAGTTATCATGAAGTTCAGCAGGGTCACCTGTAAATTTAACCAGGGGAAATTATACGAATATTAAGATTACCACGACGTTTGGTTATCGAGTAGTCGCAAGCACAATTGCCGACTAAGAAGTATCTGGTTCTATGTCCTGGTTGTACATAGGTATTATTATTGAGAGTTTTAGTATTAAAAAAACCACAGTAACAGCAAGGAACCTGAAATTGTAGCAAGTGTATTATACTACAACTAGCTGCTTCCGCGCGGTTTCACACGCTCTGCTCAGCTTCTATTGGTCGTAGCGTGATGTTTTATAGTCTATAGCCATCCTCGATAAATGCGGTATCCAAGATAAAAAGAATTATTCAAATCAGACTGGTAGTTACGGAGATTAGCGCGTTCAAACAAAAAAACAAACTCTTCCGCTTTATATAATAGTATAAGATATTTTATACCCTCTATTGTTTATATTGTACCAATAACATAACCTGAAAAGTGAGCGTAGCCTAGGTAGGCGGTGGCATATAGGGACAATATGATTAGATCTTACTGACCTTGACAGCGACTTCAGGTAAGTAGTGAGGGTTGCTGAGCCTGGTGGTGATGTAGAACCTGAAGTTGTGGTTGTACTCCAGGATGTTGTCGCCCAACTTCAAACAGTCCACTCCACCAGACCTGAGGACGAAATAATATTTTCTTTTTTTTTAATTTACAATTGTTTGAGTTGAAGGTTGACGGTCAAATGATGTTTGGAGTGACTACAGGCTCTCATCTGCAGAAGCCTCTCAGGTAGGATGCACATCAGCTCTCTTTAATCTGTTGGCAGGCACAGAAGACACCAATTGGTGGATTAGTGGATTTGGGTGTGTACAAAGACGTTCCATTTTCTTTTTCTTGTACTGTTCAATTTCAGTTACGACATTTGAGATTACTAGATAACCGTGGATCTCAGAGTTTCGAACAGACCAAAAACAATTTCGATAAAATTGAATAAAATATTGATATTACATAGAAAATGAAAAAACAGGGTTCAAAACCTCACTTTTGCTTCTTACGAAAGAAGCCAAACCGAAAGCCAAATTCATCCAGACTTTAGCCTTCTCTTAAAGAATAAGGTCCAATGGAATATGAATAAATTATAGTAACTCAGATCAGGGTAGATCCCCACCTGAAGACGTTCCTCAGCAGCACAGGTTCAAGTAGTGCATCCAGAGTCTCCCGTATGTTCTCCAGCATGACGGGGAAGCCCAGCTGGATGGCGTTTTCCAGCACTCTGCCGTAGTTGGAGTCCGTCAGCTTTATCACCTTCAACTGGTTCTCGCGCTCCATGTTCTTAACCCATTTGTTTGCTTGCTCTAGAAGCAGAAGAAGAGTAAGCGAAATTGTAACTTAGTGAAGATGGCTGCGTCGTACGTTGAGTGAATAAGGTCAAAGACATTCATTATTGTCAGGTCATGCAAAGTATTATTGAGTGTTACGATTTGCTTCAGTGATTAATAAATAGTAAATAGTATAGAGTTAAAAATGGTGCCCGGTATGACAAAAGGGTCACCCAAATTACATAGGAGACATAACTTTAACTAGCGAAAAGCCGTGGTAACATTGTTGTAACTGTAACATACAACAATGATAACTATATCATTTAAATAGGCTTTCGGAAAATAAGGCAAGACTTTTGTCACCTCGTAAACATACAATGAATTATAGCACCTGTACAAAAAGTTATGGCATAAGCCGGTAAACGACCAGACAGATCACCTGATGGTAAGCAATCGGCGTCGCTAATGGACCTCTGGAATACCAGAGGTGTTACACGTGCGTTACCGGCCTTTTGGGGATTAGGAATTTGAGGATTGTGGGGGTTTTAGGGATTGGGGAGATTGGGGAAGGGGAGGGTAATTAGGCCTCCGGTAACCTCACTCACACCACATTACCTTGCGGATCTATCATGAGTGCCCAGCGCCTTGCCTTCATGACGATGATACCATTCTGTATGGAGTAGTTGTCCACGGGCAGCCCCGCTATGTTCCACACTCGGATCACGACCGGCTCGCCCAGCGTCGTGATCAGGGAGAACGTCTCCGAGCAGGGGATCCCTGGGGATATTATGAGGCTGATATTGGAAAGAAAAGTCCAAAACTATGATGTAAAAATTATAATTTAACTAGCTGCCTGACTGAAACAGCTGAAACTTCGTACCGCCAAATTTTTTTCTCACCTTTACGAACATTTAAAGGCCAAAATTAGCCAAATCGGTTCAGTCGGTCTCGAGTTTTAGTGAGACAAACGTACGGAAATTCATTTTTGTTTGTAGGTAAGGTGTACCTAGAAACGATGCCAGCTATGTCTACTATGTGATGCGATTGGCAGTAATTAAATTCGAAGGTTGTACCTAGATATAATTCAGCGATGGAGCTATTACAGAAGCCTATCATCGTGGGTCTAGATGGAAACAGGCCAATGGTATCGCCATAACAAAGTTTAATAAAGATATAAAACTTACTGAGTTGCCTGGCTCGCTTGTTCCATATCTGTATAATCTCGGCTCTGTAGTTAACAGTAAAAGGGCCCAGGTATGCTATACAGCCCGCTGACAATAACACATCACCTGAAAACAAAGACATCAGTGGAAATTGGTGTTAAACAACACAAGTGGTGGGTTTCGTCATGTATGTGAGGTTACCTCAGATCGAATTTTCGTTCCTCTTGCGCCAAAATCTGGCATCGCAATTGTGACATTGTTGGTGTTCCACTTGTCTACGGTCGACATTGCTTACAGATGTTTTATCTCACGAGTGCGGGTGTGGTATACTTGTGTGGGTAGATGTACACGCACATTGTGTTTGTCTGCGTCCGCCCGGGAACTCCAGGTGTTGAGATGCAATGCCAATGAATGATCTGCGCGACGTGCGCAGATCGCGGAAGAACTCGGAAGAACGAGGAACGCGGAAGGACCCCTCTGTGGTTCGAAACTAGTAGAGTTTTTCTCAGTATATTCACGTCAGTAACCCGCAGTTTTTAGTTAATTTAGTATGTCTAACGATAGTTATTATAAAAACAATAAACGAATTGGCTTCTACTGACGCACGCACGCGTGTCTGTACGCACTGCTATTACAACTATAGCTCACCCGCGCTCGTGAGATAATAGAACCATACATTCATTTCGCATTCGTCCATCCATTCCATCTAGCATTCGTCTACTCGTTTACCCTAACAAATAAAATTTATAATAGGGTGTTTTAAGTACCTTAATAACAGCGCCATTATTTTAAAGCTACTTATACAAAAGGCAATAAAACTAATAACATCTATGTACCCACCGATAATATTAGAGAGCAACTCCTGTAAGTCCTTGGCGAGGTCAGTCCACCTCGCCTTCTCCCCTCCAAGTCCCCCAATGAGCTGCTCAGCTCGCGTGAGCTTGGTGGAGCATAGGTGTATTTCGTCTTCTAGACCTTTCTTCTTACGGGTCATTTCCGCAAACTCGTCGTTTAGGGTCTAGAAGAAGAAGTTGGTTTGAAAAGGTCCCAAATATGTATGTACTGCTGAGTAGGAAGTTTTAATTTGTGAGTATCGTGGTACTACTGCACTTTTAATAGAAATATATTCAGTTATAGAACAAATTATGAACTTGTTTTCTTGGTTTTTTAGCACCGCATTTTTAGTTCTTAGTTCGACAATTTAGTTCTTTATAGCAAACAAGTAATACGATGCCCATACCAAGTCAAACAAAACGAGGTCAATCATTGTTATGATTTTCGGCTTATAAGGTAATAATCTATGATGTGGAAGAATGCTTAAATTATATGCTGTAAGTCAAAGTCAAAGCATTTATGTCGGTCAGTCCGTTAGTAAAGTTAGATGAAGCTCATTCCAAAATATAGATTCGAATGGAGAAGAACGAGCAAGAAATTCCATTCATTACTCTTTTTAAAATAGTATGTTCTACAATGTAAGAAGAATGAATGACCTGCAACTTGTCGAGGACGGCCTGGAGCTGCGCGCGCTTGGCGTTGAGTGTGTTCATCTGTTGTTGTAGCTCGGACTCCGCCTCGAACAGGGCCGCCTTCTTCGGGGCCACCACCTACACGCGCCCACGAATGACAATCATACAGGATCAGAATACTCAACAACCACCTTAGTTAGAACTCGGTATAGTTAAAAAGTAGGCAACAGAATCAGTATTAAACCAAATTAAATCTTCACTATACCAATAAAACTTTTAACGGTATGCGACAAAAATATTAAATTGGGATGTTCCCTATTAATCAAATTCCATACCTACATATGCCTAATCTCATGATAAAGTTTTACATCATTTAAATAGTCATGCCAACTAACTAAACGCGTACATATAAAATTTCAACTCAATCAGTTGAAGATTCCACTTCAAACACACGCAAACACAAGCACCCCCCTCACACACACACATACATACATACATTCATACATATGTATAGACAATTGCAATTTAAATTACAAAGCTATTTAAATAATAGAAGCCTGTAAAAACTATACTTTTGTATGGATTTCTGCTTTTTTATAGTTTTGTATGGATATATTAAACCTATGTACCTTGATGACCCTGTCGTAGACATCCATAGCCCGCACCCATCGACACAGACCCTCGCACGCAGACGATATCTTCGCGATCACTGCAGGGTCGAAGTCACGGTCCGGGATGTATCTGTTATCATTTATTTATGCAAAGATTAATAACTAAGGTGTTATCACTAACTACCCCTAAATCATGCCCCTAACTAAGAGTTACTTAGCGAAAGAGAGCGCCTAAATAAACCTCTGACTTGTATCTTTAAGGCTCATTATGAACCTCTCTTATATTTTAAGAAACCTCTGACCAAAGTAGGTAACTGTTAAAGGCATTTTCGTTATTAGCAAACTATAAGTGACACTTAACAGTACCACAGGTAAGGCGGTAGTTTAGGTGCTTTACGCTAAATAACTCTTAGTTAAGCGATAATTTAAGCGTGGTTAGTGAAAACGGATATAAGTGTCATTTCGGTTCGTGAAAATCAAAATGTCGTATAACTATCGTGAGACATACTAAATTAATTAAAAATCGCGGATAACAACAGAGGGGTTCTTCCGCATGAGCAGCGTGTGCGGTCGCGGCAATGTCGCGCAGCCTACTGAGCCTCTGTGGTTCGAAACTAGTAGAGCTTTTCTCAGTATATTCACGTGAGTAGCCCGCGTTTTATAGTTATTCTATTCATTACACCATTAGAAGTTAGGAGAATGAATAAATACTTTAAAATATCATAGCAACATAACATAACATCACGCCTTTTTATCCCCGAAGAGGTAGGCAGAGGTGCACATTACGGCAGTTATTGCCGCTGTATAGCGTAACACCCACTTTTTACTATTATGTTATGAGTCCCATATATTAGGGGTGAGCCTATTGCCATATACCGGGGACAATTCCAGACTACGGAGATTATTTTTAAAAGTTTAAAATATCGTTATGTCTTATTCGTATTATGTGGGTGTGGATGACTTGAATGTTAAATCCGTTTTTCGCATTATTTTGTCTCCTGCATCTATTGTTTTGCAGCTTGATTCCACAGCGATTACAGGTAATTAATAATTGTCAATCAGTAATTGTGAAAATCAAAATAACCCAACATTTTAATATTTTGCCGAATGAAATCATGAATGAAGTCACTCGATTTTCAAACAAATTCCTTTAAAATTTGAAAATAATAATATGAGTCGTACCTTTCTCTAATCTTCTTCATGATGGCGGGCGGTATGTTGTCCTTGTCGTAGTTCTTCAAGCTCTCCAGGAACTTCATGTCTCCGAGCATCTTCTGGGACGGGCCCCAGTAGTCCTCGAAAGGTTTCCCTGGACGATACCGAACAGGATATATAGTAAAATGTTAGGAATAATTGCCAAACGTTTTTTTTTAAGATACGAGAGTACCCCTCATCTAGTTTGGATCATCGGATGGGGCCCAGCAGGGCTGATGCCGATTCGGAGTCGCGGAGAGCCTAACGGGTTACCGGGGTGGTTATTAGTCAGTAAGAGTCTGACACTACCTCCCACCTCACCCAGGCGGGAGCAGTAATTAGATTAGATTTCCCCCCTTAAAAAAACCCTCATCTAGTAATTTAAAGATTGACGTGTAAAAGTGTTACTTTGTAACCTATTTGCAGGAATAAATATCATTACATTTCATTACACATACATGATTGATGAAAAACGAAAGAAAAACTACTTGATGATTCCTTTGCGCGACAGAAATCGATGTAGTTTTACAAACACAATAACATCTAACAGAATAACGCCCGAATACTGAAAGGCTATTCAATTTTATAAGTTCTATATTTCAACATCACGTTATTTCTGTCATTTAGCAAAGAATTAGCAATGACGGAACTATACTATAACTAAGCGCAACTTAATAGAGTGACGTTTGAGTATTTGGACATAAGTAACTGACCATTAGGATCTATCTTCCTATCTCCCTTGATCCCCTTCATCACGCACACAGCTTCCATCACCAGCTTGACTCCTGAGGGCGGGTTCTTCATGGACTTGACCAGGGTGATGTCAGCTGGCTTCAGGGTGTTCAGGGCGTCCAGGGCGGCTGCCAGAGCTGGTACAGCTTCGGCCAGGTCTGATTCACAGTCGTCTTTAATGGCCTGAGCCGCCGCAGCCGCTTCGTTGGCTAAGGCTTCATCTGCACCTACTATCTGTTGTAAAGTAAGGTTAAGTGTAAGATATTTTTATAAAAATAATGATTATACTACATTTCGAGGATGCTCGAAAAGTTTCGAATAACACTGGGGCTCTTTTTAATAGGCGATTAGCTCTTGAAACTTGTAATAGATACCTCTTTCTGCTTCTCAACCACGACAGTATCTTGTTCTATCTTGATCATGAGCTTCTCAGTCTTGTCTGAGGTTTCCACCAGCAGCGGCTGCAAGTCTCTGAGGTTCTGCTGCATTACTGCCACCTGACCTGCTGCAAAGTCTAACTGCTCTAGCCCGGTTTCATACCTGACGGAGAAAAGACAGCTGATCATTTTAAAGCGATTGTTTTACAAAATTGTCTTAGTCAATGTATTGGCTATGTGCAAAGCGAGTAGTGGCTGACAGATAACGAACGCAGCGCACAACGCGGCAGAAATTGGAAACAAACGCGGATGATGCAAACCCGGTTTTTATTATTTTATTCATTTTACAGTAAAACTATTGTATAAATTGCACTTAAATAATGTCAACAATACTATTTTAATCTTTGGTTTTATTTATATTTGCAAAGAAAATTATATTGTTTACGTTGTCATTATTTGACAGTTTCCGCAAAAGTTGTAAACGCTACGCGTCGCCACCGTCGCGCACATAGCCAATATAGTGATGGTTCTAAGTAGCAGTAAAAGGATATAAGGTGCGAAAATTGCAACCGATTTCTTGCAGCTAAATATAATTGGCCAGATGTACCTTTCTGATATTTTATTAAGACACGTTTCACATTGATCTTGGTGTATAAAATTAGTATTAAACTGTCAAACACCAAGCGGTCACCGGTGACCGCAACCTATTGTTCTATAATTGTGTCTACAAAACCGGTACTCGACGAGTTAAATAATCTTGTATCTTATCTTACACTATTATAATATTTAGTTAATTTGTTTGAACGCGCTAATCTCAGGAACTACTAGCCCTATTTGAAAATTATTTTCGTCTTGGATAGTCCATTTATCAAAGAAGTCTGTGGGCTATAAAATATCTTGCTGCAGTCAATAAGCACCGAGCAGATCGGGTGAAACCTACGAAAGTAGCTTGCCTGATTCTAGACATCGTGATCTGTTCAACTTTCAGAGCGTACAACGACATGAACGCTTTGATCAGCTCCAAGTAACTAGTCGGTGTGACGTATACCATCCTCCTTTGTTCTTTATAGAATCTGAAACCAAAAGTGCGGGAAGTTTTTAGTATATTCATTAACCGATTTAAAAAAAGATGGAGTTGAAGTCGGTTTTAGACGTATTTTATAAAAGAATTCTTTAATGACATATTTGTGATTACCTTATATGAAGTTCAGTGGTCAGAATTGTGTTTACCGAGTTACATGTAAAGTACATGAAACTAACATACTAAGATTATGTAGACACCGCTAACAAACGGTGAATGTAAATATTTTAAATAATAATTTTATAATCGCCAACCCGCCTTGAGCAAGCGTGATGATTAACCCCTTGCTGTCGATATATGGGACACAATAGAAAACACGATTGTGTCGCGATTTGCGTTCCAACACTTCACATTTTAATGCTAAACCTTCTCCGTACAATAGGCCTTTGGTCAGTAGTGGCAATTTGTATTGGCTGTTGATGGAGTGTGATTTATTAGGATTTCACTTTTACAGATTCTCTTTTACAAACGTTTACCTATTTCGTATTCTGAGTACAGAAACTAAACTACAAACAGACAGGTGTCCCAAAAGTCGAGTGTTATAGAATGTAAAGTCGTGCCTGTCGCTGAGCTGCACGACGGTGGTGTGGAAGAGCTGGCACATGTCGACGCAGGCGAGGCGCAGGTCGTCGTCCACGTCCTCCATCTCGAAGATGAACATGTGCGCCACGCGCTCCAGCGCGTCCGACGGCCACGCCGTGAACCTGTACACCGCACTGCATGTACTGCCTTGTAATCTCCAATACAAGATCATTTTTAGGTATATAAAAATGAAACCCGTTTCCCGTTGTCACGCCATAACGTGAGAACGGTTTCACCGATTTGTTTTTGTTGTGTTTATTATTGTCAGGAAAAGGTTCTTATGACAGAAAAAAGTCTTGAAAATCCTACGGGAACGGGAGAAAACGGGATTGCGCGTACGAAGTTGCTTCTAACTTATAACTTTATATACCAGAAAGCGCTGATATACATAAGGGAAATATAGAAATAGTGCCAAACAATGTTGTACTCTGCCGTCACTACATTGTACGGCGTACTGCTATTATTAATAACTAGCTTCTGCCAGTGGTCGCCCGCAGTTCCATGGGATAAAAGTAACCTGTGTTATTCCAGACAAAAATCTACCTCTGTTGCCGTTTCCCAACAGCCGTTTTGATGTGAAGTAGTAACAAACCAACAAACGAACATATAAACTTTCGTATTTATAATATTAAGTAGGACAAATCATCCAGTTCTTATAACTGGCTAGTATACAACAATAAAGTCCTACCAGTCGATGGTGGCGCAGTTGATGAGTGAGGGAAACATGCGGAGTCGGTTGCGGAACGAGTCCCCGATGGGGGACATCGACAGCACTATGCGCAGGTTGGCCTTCACGCGCTCCACGTAGAAGCCGAACATGGCCAGCGGAGTCGTTTCTATTTTCTTACCCTACGACAAATAATTGGGAATGAAGTAACTCGAGTGATTTCAAGCCACGTTAGGGGCTCATACTCGTGGTCAATATCTCGGGACAAATGATGCATTGCGCCAATGCGTTACGTCGTCAAATCGTTATGTGAAAAGAACAAGCTATAAAACAAAAAGTTGAGTATGTTACAATTACCTAATCATTTCAATGAAAATTATCCAAAATTAATAAAATAACGTTGCCCCACACTAGGATTTACTCCTGTGACGTAAGTCCGTTTAAAAATATACAAGTTCACTTACATATGACACATAGTCTCGGAAGAACAATTTGTGGATCACAGAAAGAGTTGCTCTTTGCGGGAATTGAGCCCCCTATACGAGTGCCTAGCCACAGCGCCAACCATGGAGTTTAAAATCTATTAACGAATTTGTAAAGTACATTAATAGTTCACAATAACTCACGGACTCCCGGACGGCAGTCTGCATCTTGTCCAAGATCTCCACCTTCTCATCAATACCGTACAGGTTGGGGATGTCGCCTGTGTTCAGCAACATGTTGATGTCCTCCACCATGCCCTCGTACATTATCTGGTGGGGAAACAATAGGTTAGTGATAAAGACGTCATAAGTTACTAATATAGTTATTGTTAAAGACATATCATAAGAACGATACGTTAAATTGCATTATTCAATATCAGATTGAGAACTCGCACTTAAATAATTATGTCTTTTCGAAGAATACTATCTTTATTTTAAGTAATTGTTTTGAGTAACTCAATTTTTTATTCTTTATTTTTTTTTGAAGGTGTACTGCGACATCACAAACATTGTTATTCAAAATACACTAAAGTAACAAGATAATAGGTTGATCCATGTGACAATAATGGCGTACGTTCATCAGCTTAACAATGGCTTAAAAATGGAATACAATTAGATTGATTACAGAAAATGAAAACGAAAATCCATAGAATCTTGGTAGGCATATCTATCTAATCTTAAATACAGTACATATCTTAAGTCGCGTCAGAAATACGAATAAAATAATTAATCGAATCCTAAACCAACTGTCACATGGATTCCACATAGTGTTGTTAAAAGACTCGAGTCTCCCGAGTCTTCGACTCATTCAAGGCTCGAGCCTCCTATGAAGCCTCGAGCTGCAGCCTCGAGCTTTACTTCGAAGGCTCAAGCCCAGTCTCGAACCCTATAAAACCCTATAAAAAAACTAAACTCGATAATTCAGCTAGCGATATCATGCTAGTTATTAAAACTACCCACGTAACTATTATTACCTCTATTATTGTAATAATTACTTCTATACGTCATTCGCGTCAAAATCAGTGTGCAGTTTTCTTGGTTTATAATTAATAATATAGTTTTTATAATAGTTGTCACTGGTGAAAGATCGTTAGATCTACAAAATGAACGAGGAAGATAATATAACATCGGAAGATATCGAGTTTGATACTTCGCTTACAGAAAATGATGCTTCCATATCTTCTATGTTGTCGAAAAAGCCGCGTATTAGTTGGAAATGGTGTCATTTTAAGAAAGAATCCAACAAATTGTTGTGCAAGGGCATCGCACTCCATTTTGAAAAGGCATCAATCGCACCATGGTGATGTTAATTTTATACAGAGTGAACAAACCGAAAAGGCTGGGTCCTTAACATAAAAATCAACAAGTGGACATTAATGACCTTTTGATAAAGTTTATTATACATGGCCAGCATCCTTTCCGAATAGTACAAGAACAGGAGTTTCAATCATTTTTATCAGCACTTAATAATACGTAGGTATCGTTTACCAAGTAGAATTGAGAGGAGACAATTTGTCAAAACATAATTATGAACGAGGTAGCTCTAGTGAAGTTAACCCAGTTAAAAAAAGTTTATTTGCATCCATGTACAAGCAACCGGAGACTAGAAATATCGCAGATGAAGTGGATAGATACATAAATATGCCTTTTGAGCCTGAAAACACAAGTGTATTAATGTGGTGGAAAAAACAAAAAGAATTGTCGGTGTCAACTTTAGCTGAAATAGCATTCGAAGTTTTATCTATACCAGCGACAAGCGTTCCTAGTGAGCAAGCCTTTTCAAAATCTGGTAATTTAATAACAAAAAAAAAGAAACAGGCTGAACAACAAAAACATCCAGGCATCAATGTGCTTATCGTCATGGTTAAATATCGAATAATAATTCATTGTTTAATATAGTTTTCTTTTTTCTGTATTTTTATTTTATTTATACGTACACAAAGCACCGCTAATTAGTTCGAGGCGCTACACATCGACATTACTATCATTTACACAGTGAACATGTGTGGGTAATTTCATATTAATAGATATGTATAGAAACATTCGTTCTATCACACACATCTTGGTATTACATATCATTTTTGTGTCGGTATACGTAATATTTTAGTAAATAAGTTTAAATAAAAACGAGGGTAAAGATAAAAATACTCATAACAAACTTTGAATAAATCGAAATCAAAAATAATGAACGATCGAGCAATACAATACTTATATAAATATAGTGCATTCTCATTGTATTTTTATGTTACTGAATGATATACAATATTTCGATGTTCTCATCTACGGCGCGCTTGGCGCAATGGTTATCGCCTCCAGTGGTCAAGTAAAGTGCCACCGGATCGATTCCAGCATTCACATGTTGTTTTAGTATTAATTAATCAAATATTTGAAATGTGAAATTAGAAACAATTAAATCTTTTCTTTTTTTCCTATCCTATTTTTCTAAATCTTATGTTAATTTTAATAGTAAATACTTTAGATTTATTTATACCTATAATATCCTTTATTTATATTTTAGTTCTAGTTATTTATTATTTAGAATAATTTAGAATGATTGGAAGAACTTTAAAGTTAACATGTGGTATATAATTAATTATTAGATATAAATATTGAATATAAAACCACATATTTGTATAATTAATAAATTAATTTTAATAAAAAATAGTATTGTTTTATTTACCGACTGATTTGCTTCTTTTATAGCCTGATATTTATATTATATGACAAAAAACAAAAAAAAAAAAAAAAGAAAAACAACAAGGTAAAATAAAAAAAAACTTTTAGCTGGAATAGAACCCACATCATCATTGATCCTTGAAAGACGATAAAAGCGTACTCATTAACCAATCGACCACGAGCACTACGATAATTACAGTGAAAATGTCGGGTCATATCAATGATTGTAAATAGTTTTAACCTTACCCATGCATTAAATTATAAAAATACGTATACCGACACAAGAATGAAAATACCAATGTGAACGTGGTGGACGAATATTTTTATACACAGTAATATGAAATTACCCACACATGTACATTGTGTAAATGACAGTAGTGTCGATGTGAGCGTTACGAACTAATTAGCGGTGCTTTGTGTACTTACCGCATTAAAACAAAAATATTTCATTTTAATATTACCTGGCATATAAATAAAGCTCGAGCTTCGACTCGAGTCCTTTATATAAGGCTAGTGAGCCTTCAGTGTTCGAGCCTTTAGAGCTTGAGCCTTTAAGGCTTACGAGCCCTCAGAGCTCGAGCCTTGAAGACTCAGTAGCTTCGACTCGGAACTCGAGTTTCGGCCTCGGAGCTCATTTCTAACAACACTAATTCCACAATTCCACATTCTTGGAATGTGGAATTTCCACATTCCAAGAGACAATAAAACTACAAACTCTTGAATTTCAATGTAATTGAGTTTTCAGGTGTATTGGTACCTGGTTATCCGCGAAGAGGAACACGAGAGGCTTCCCAATGATGCCAGCCTTCATCAGCAACTTCCTGATGTCATCGCGCCACTCGTTCTGACCGTACACTCGGGATATTTCTATCTGTGAATACAAGGATGAAAATTGATTATTTATAGCTCATCTATACGTCGACTTGTCGAGGCTGCTCGACTAGTTTCGTGCCCGACCGGGCCTTATAATTATGAGCTGTACAAGCGTACTCATATAGTTTATGAGAGCTAGGTTTGAGTTTATTTAATAGAAGATAGAGTGACTAAGATGTGACCTGTATGACATTCATCTCCAATATGCTGGCAGCCAACTTGACAGCACTGCTCCTGCCACTGCCGCCAACTCCCACCAGCAGTAGGTTACCTGATAGTGGACATACATTTATTTAGGTGCAGCTAGGGTACTCTGTAAGATGTGAATTCGAACTCTCGGAGGGAGCTCGATCGCATTCTCGCCCGTCATTGGTCGAGATTATTCTCACGACCAATGACTTGGCGGACTTCTTACAGAATACTTCAGCAATATCTACTTTATTAAATAGGCTTTTATCACAACATAATAACTAAATGAACATTAAGCAGAAAATATAATTTCAATTACTGAGAACCAAACAAAGGAACGGGACAAGCTAAATAAAACTGCTTAACTCGGCGAGTACCGTCAATATAGACACAATTATAGAACAATAGGTTGCGGTCACCGGTGACCGCTTGGTGTTTGACAGTTTAATAATAAAAAGCGAGGTCACTGACCATTATCTTGCAGTAGTACCCTGGTGCAGCGCGAGATATGGTCGAGTGCGTATCGGAACATGACCAGCGCCATCGGGGATGACGTCACCACGTTGTACTCCTCCAGGTAGTACTCCATCTTGGATGTCATGTCTTCCAAGCTCATCACCTATGATAAAGGGTTGTGTTAAATATAAATAGTACACATTTATAAGTCATTTTTTTTACTAAGGGGTAGAATCATCGAATGACTTCTCCCGCCTGGGTGAGGCGGAAGGGAGTGTCAAACTCTTACTGACTAAAAAACACCCAGTTCCTACTCCTACACTTCGAGCCGGAGCCTCGGTAACCCGTTAAGTTCGCCGCGGCTCCGTATCAGCATCAGCCCTATTGGGCCCAATCCGTGACGGTCTTTAAGGCGCGCGATTTATAAGTCAATACACATAGATGACCGGGCAAACTTCGTACCGCCTAAGATATTTTTCTCACCTTTTAAACCCTGGACTTCACAAACGTTTCAAGACCAAAATGGGCCAAATCGGTTCAGCCATTCTCGAGTTTATCGAGCGAGACTAACGAACGGAAATTCAGTTTTATTATAAGTCATAATCTGTAGTTAAAGTGCCATTGACCATATCCCTGAATCCATTGTTAGTCATAGGGCTTTCGACTTTATAATATTAAAAAAAAAGAAATTAAAGCACAGAAAAATTGTATTAGGTACTCTTAAATAATTTGGACATAACATAACATAACATCACGCCTTTATATCCCCGAAGGGGTAGGCAGAGGTGCACATTACGGCACTTAATGCCACTGTACAATGTAACATCCACTTTTCACTATTTATGTCATGAGTCCCATGTAATAGGGGGTGAGCCTATTGCCATATACCGGGCACAATTCCAGACTCCGTGCTACCACTGAGATTTTTCAAAAATCCCAGTAATACTTTGCCCGACCCGGGAATCGAACCCGAGACCCCTTGCTCGGCAGTCGCACTTGCGACCACTCGGCCAACGAGGCAGTCTTAAAAAAATAATTTGGAATATTAAAAAAATTTAATTTCCGAACCCACTCAATCTACAAACAATTCCGCCGTTGTTACCTGGTCATATATCTTGGGGTCAGCGTCAGGCTCCATGTAGTTCCCGAAGAAGATGTTGCAGGCGTGTTTGTTCCCGCACTTCTCTCCCTCGGGAACGAACCCCATCTCCTGCAGCACTGCGTCCATGTGCACGCGGAAATTGTTGTACACTGCCTTGTATATAACTTCGTACAGCTTCTCACTGTAAGGGAGTTTGAACTTTATTGTGGAAAGAGTAGGGTTGAAATTCTATTAAAGGATGGCAGAGTTTTTTAAAAGGGATTGGGGATAAAGCGATTAGGTGAGGATTAACCGATTAAAAGAACCTCACAAACACGATCTGTGAGGCTGTGGTATCACTGCGCTCGAACTGACCCAAGAATTGTATTGTAAACCTGATTGAAAAAGAGTAACCTATGGAGTTTCTTGCTCGTTGTTCTCCATAGGAATCTACACCTTGGAATAAGCAGCTAGCTTCACTTCTAAATTTTTTTGTTGACGTTCAAAAGTGCCATCCTGGTCTAATTGAAATAAATAATTTTGACTTTGACCATTCTGGCTTCGCATATCAGAACATGACACGTAAGAGGTTGTGGTAAGTCGAATAGAAGCAGAATGTTTAGCTACTATTGTGAATAATGTAAAAAAAACTCTATTATAAGGCTAAAGAAGGTCGAGTATGGAATAAAACTGTAAACACAAAACGTACAATGAGTTAAACTATAATCAGTAATCCTTACCGATCTGCATCATCAGCGAGTCTATCATAGAATACTCGATAGGCTTCGTGTATCCACAGTATGACCAACTTATTGAGGTCCTTCATATGTGTGGACGGTACAAGGAGTATTCCTTTGATGACCCTGGCGAAGTCCCTCAGGTTGAACAGGTAGTGGCACTTGCTGGGCGTCGGCAGGAACTGCAGTGTTACTGCCTTGTATACTTCCATAGTTGCTGCTACCACCGCCTAGAGGGAGGGTAAAGGATACATAACGGATGGCCTTAAGTCCTAAGACACTGTTCATCATGTTCAAATGTAATGCTTAGTTTTTGCTAGTTATGTTACAAGTTCCATGTAGCAGGCTATTGCCAATTTATTCAATCCGTTATTACGTAGGATTATTGGACACCGAAAAATATAAAAAAAATAATGACCTCGAATGTCGTGCGACATTTGCATTTATTATCGAGTAACCACATATTTATTGAGTAACCATAAATGCAAAAAGTAAGTATTAAAAAGTAGTGGTAGTAAAAAATTAAACATTTTAAATAAGAAAACAATCAATTTCTATGTAGCTACCTTGGCCTGCCTCTGCAACGCTTCAATGAATCCCTTACTGAAATGCCAGTCCATGATAGTGCCGAAGATCTTGTTGAGGGTGTTGTCCTCGAAGGAGTCCAGCGTCACTATCAGCATGTGACGCGTCAGTCGCGACGAGATCAGGTTGGAGCCGCCGCCAGGGGGAAGCATCGCTGATACGAACAGCTGAGGAATGTGGAAACGGATGAGGATTAAAAAAACTCAAAGTTATTTGTTTGTTCATCTATCATTCATCCATTGATTACAGGAGTTGCAGCGGTTTTCAGAAGTTGTAGTAAACTTCTTTCAATAAAAAATCATCTGGTCATCTAACATCCTAGCGTCCATCTTTCATCCACCATTCAATATTCATATAATACCTATACTTCACTATCCATCGACTATATATACATCTATCACCCACAAGTGAGCTGTAGATACGTACGACGTCGACGACCTCCTGGCGCACCATGTCCTTGAGATCGTACCAGTGTCCGTGGTCGATCCACTGCCGCAGCAGCTCCAGCGGCGGCTGCGCGCCGTACTGTTCCTTCTGAGGCATGCTCAGGTCGTCCACGAATAGAAGGCACTATACCATACAAGAATATCAAGCTACACAATTGAATTTTGACTTAATTACAAAACAATAAGCGACTGTGAACTGTGTGACTGAAAACTATTTAGATAGATGTATTCTAAAGTAGAAAACATGCCGTTGGAAATGCAGTACCTATAACTTAATCGCTTGGGGAAAGGCGATGTTCGATTTATGTTTGACGTATAATTTCTGTGTAACTCTTAGACCTTACCTTTTTCCCCATGGAGGGTCCGAACACACCCTTACGTCTTCTGTCCACTTTGGACATAATGATGTCTTGAGTCTGAAAGAACATTAGAAAGCCATTAACATCAGGCTGTCGGAACTTTCCTTTATACATTTTAGCGCAGTAAAGTGTCACTGGCTTGCTCTTCAAGACTTATGAACATCTGTGAATGTATCACACACAAAATGTAACAGGGTACTTGTGTCACACAAGTCACAATCTCAAAGTAATAAATAGGGATGGTGACAGGGTATGACAATTAAAAATCTATTTAGTCCGTCAGTTAGATAATGGAAAAATATTAGATACGAATTTTTTATTTTGTCGTATAAAAGACAATACTTAGACTTTAGACAAAACGAATCAAAGTTTAGGAGTGGGATATAAAACGTAATTAAATTTTCTTCGTATAAAACTAACATTTGTTTATGTAAGAAAATAAAATATACGTGTCTAATGTTTTACAATAATATACCAGTTACATCTACGACTGACCTGGTTAGCCGTAGTCCTCGCAGAGAAGGTGATGGTATTGGTAATATATCGCTCCTTGGGCAGAGACAGTAGGTAGTTTAGCACCATGGAGGACTTGCCCGTGCCCGTCGGACCCACGATCAGTATCGGGGTGCTCGCCCTCACCATCTTGTTCACGAAGTACCGGAGACATGCGTTCTCATTCGTTAGGATTATTATGTCGTTCACCTAGAATATTGTTAGCATTTGACTGGTGAAACCATGGATACCTTACAACACCGGAATAGTTACAAGTACGTTGCCGACCTTTAGGTGGGAGGGATTGGGCTTCATGTGACCTCACTTACGGTGCGAAGTGATGCCTTAAAGCATTTAACGCCCGAATACTGAAAGGCTACTCTACTTTAACTTGTACTTAAATATTATACCATCTCTGGCATTTTACGTAGAATTTGTAGCGACATGTACCCAGGCCAGATGTTGTCGAAAATGGTTATTTGAATGTTATAGATAATTAGTTGTGCGGCTTCTGTAATTATTGCTCACATTTTAAATTTGTTGCGCTTATAGTTTTTTAATTATTTCACAAAACATTTCCTGCTGGGGTAACGTTACCCCAGCCAGAGGCTTTCCTTTCTAATGGGAATATTTAAATAATTACTAGCTAGTCTTATTTTGTATTTGTTCTTTTATCGGTTGCGAAGTTATTCGAGATTTTCTTTAAAATGGTAAAAAAAAGTCTGGCTGGGGTAACGTTACCCCAGCAGGAAATGTTTTTGTGAAATAATTAAAAAAACTATAAGCGCAACAAATTAAAAATGTGCGCAACAATTACAGAAGCCGTACAATAAATTATATCTATAAAATTGAAATGACCATTTTCGACAACATCTGGCGTGGGTAACGCACACGCAACAGGACTAAAATTAAGTGCGATTTAAAACTGAGCGTTTCAGTAGTTGGACATAAGTCCGTCATTCACATTCACACATTTTTGTGTTAAGTAGAAATAAATAAACAAATAATGCATTCATTTATCTTTTTTATACAATTAGTATAGTTTTTACGTTCAGTTTTAGTGTAAATAGAGCTATAGCATGAGGTTGTTCAAAACAGGCATAGGTAATTAAAAATCTATATGATCAGCGACGTACTAGTGATGCCTCTATGTTGCAAGTATACATAGGTTACAATAATAAAAAATACAATAAATTATGTTTCACAACTCACATTGTCGTATAACGATACAACTTGACTATAATTTCAAGCCACGCTAGGGGCTTACAGTCATGAGCAGCATTATGTGACGATAACTGCGTCGTTTATTCAGTCTATAAACATATGCGGCATGGACAACTTAGTCTGAACTTACCTTAGCAGTCGGTGACAGTGGAACCTCCTTCTCCAGCTCCATCCAGGATATCCAGGTGCCGTTATTCCTCTTATCATACAAGTAATCGAACACAGTGTCTTTGTCAGGGAACAGTTGGTTCTTGACAAGTTTGAAGGACTTCGGTTTGGGGTAGTGCGTGTTGCTGCCGTCTAGAAGCTTGCGGAAGAACGTATCGAATATCTTGCGACTGTCACCTGGTCGTATATAATATATTTATTGAGAAAAAAAAACAGGTGACATATATAGATTATGCGCATACAGTTCGTAAATACTAATGTCCCAAGTCTGCAGCTGTGTCGCGGAGAACCTAACGGGTAACCGGGGCTCCGACTCGACGTGCAGGAGAAGGAACGGGGTGGTTTTTAGTCAGTAAGAGTCTGACACTCCCTCCCGCCTCACCCAGGCGGGGGCAGTCATTCGATGATTTTCCCCCCTTAAAAAAATAAAAAAAAAAGTCTGCAGCTGTAGCCATATGCAACTTAGCGCTTGTCTACTTGTAGAGTACCAAACTAAATTATATGGAATTGACGTAAATTTTGATATTTGTCACTGTCATCCCGATACATATAGTTTTCTACTCTCTTGGTAGACAAGAGCTAAAGTGGCGTTTGGCTGAAGGCACAGTTCAGGGCACTAAGCTAGTATTCTACTGGCCCCTTATTTGATTTGTACGAGTTTGAACCCGCAACACATGCAGTAACCTAACCGTGCAGTCGATTTCCTCAATAACTTGACAGTCCCCTACTGGACTATAAGCTTTCTCTACATGAGAGGGGATTGTCGTAATCTCCATACTTGGCGCGTGGATTAAAAACAAGGAAACCTAGGTTTAAAAAAACCGACCTGAACCCCTCTGTTTTTAAAATTATTTATTTATATACTAAACCTTCTCGTAAGTGTAACAAAAACTTTTCTGAGAATCGCATTAAAATCGGTTCAGCCAATCGCGAGATATTCGCGTACAAACATACATACATTCATACAGGTCAAACTAAGAACCTCCTATTTTAGAAGTTTGTTAAAAAAACGATTCAGATTCCTCAGAGGGCTGCACGGGCTCCTTTAAAAGTGCAGTTTCTTATGACATGGGAGTACAGGTGGTGGCCAACGTATTGTACTCTGGCATATGTACATATAATATTACTACCCTCGCGTGGTTTTACCCGCTCTGCTCGGCTCCTATTGATCGTAATGTGATGTTTTATAGCCTATGATCTTCCTCGATAAATAGGCTATCCAACACAGAAAGAAGTATTCAAAGCGGACCCGTATTTCACGAGATTAGCGCGTTCAAACAAACCAATTCTTCAGCTTTATATAATACTAGCTACTTCCGCGTGGTTTCACACACTCTGCTCAGCTCCTATTGGTCGTAGCGTGATGTATTATAGCTTATAGCCATCCTGGATAAATGCACTATCCAACACAAAAAGAATTATTCAAATCAGACTTGCAGTTACGGAGATTAGCGCGTTCAAACAAAAAAACAAACTCTTCCGCTTTATATAATAGTATAAGATTAGTATAAGATAACATGGGGTTACCGTTGATGATGGCGCCGAGTCCCCACAGCAGGGTGAACACGAAGGTACACTGCAGCCACACCGTGCTGAACTGGGCCTCCGCGTCCAGCAGGCACGTGAACAGGCGCGCGAACGACTGCGGGGGACTGGGCTTATATAAACTACAATGACAATTGGGTACTTTCCTCTATCAAAACCAAATTATTTCGATTGTTCAATACAATAAAACAAAAGTAATCACACTTTCATTAATTGATTTTATGACCAACTCAATTATAGTATTTTTTAAGAAATAACTATGCTGTTTGACGCTAAAAAACGTGACGTCACAATACACAATCTCGTACAAAATTCATAGAAAACTATCGTTTTTAACAGTTCGAAAAAAGTATTGAATTTGACTAGTTTACAAGTATCCAACTCCACAACACTTAAATTAAAGAAGAAGCGTATTTAGAGCGACCAATTTGTAAATAACGTAGCATACGTATATAAGGTGTTAATAAATTAACTCTAGGAAATCTAAGGTTTTGTTGTAACATTTATTCCATAATTAATCACGAAAAAATAATTTAAAAAAAAGCTACCGTTCTAAAGTTATTCCACTATTTGTGTTACACGTAAACAGCCTAATATGCGCGCCGTACGGCGTACTAGGCCGTCGACGAAGCCCCGAGCGACCGCGCTGACGCAGGTGTCGTGGTACCGCGCGCTTATGTTACTACTGAACTTAATAATGTTTCATTTTAATAAACGACCACACGACTCTGTTTAGATTATGTTATTTAACTGAATTGATATGCTTATAATTAAAATAGCATAGCTACAATGATTAATTATGTCAATTTTTTGAATAGGTAAATACTAATAATAACTCAACCAAAAACCAATACTTCGGTAGTTAGTAGTACTAGTACTAGGTGGTAGGTTGGTAGTTACTTAGGTATTTATCATTTACAAGTATTCATCGGAATAAATGCCCGTCTCTAGATACCTAAGTATTAACAAAGAGTCTACCTTATTTACAGAAGATGCTGGAACTTGGAAGTGTCTTCCACTTTGTTCGATGCACAAGTTTGTACGACGCGACGTATTACGTTGTTTTTCACTCGCAATAATGTGTCTCTGTCACTTTTAATAATATCAAACGCGTTTATTATGCTTATTTTTAATTCGTCCGCGTTTCTAATCTCACTACCACTGACGAGCTGCAGATACATTTTCGCCACTTCTAATGTACCACATTAACATGTCTAAGTACTTGCGGTTACTATGCGTAAACTGCATTATTGAATATTGAACAACAAACAATAAAAAATGGCGCGTGCGATTGATCGGACACAACACTGAACGACACTGAGGGCCACACCCTTCCCGCGCGACAGCTATCGGTCAACTGGCGATCGAGAGAGAGAGAAGTGGGAAAGAGAGCGGGGCAACTAGCGAACGGGAGAGAGGGAGAAAGAGAGAGAGATTGCGATAACATGGGGACGGTGACGGCGCGCCATTGCTTCGCTCGGGCCGCAAGCGCAGCCCCACGTACGGTTTGCACAAAAACGTTTAACCAACTCCTTTATTTTTGTTAAAAATAAAAGTTGTTAAAATTGTTAATTTTTTTTTGCTAAACGTGTCAGTTTATTGATTCCCACCAACCTCATAAAATATTTAGAGCGAATTTATTAACACCTTATATAAAGCTATGTCCATAACTGGTAGACCAAGTCAAATTCCCCGGACATGAATGTTGTTACACGCCCATTTCCGCAAAAACTCCACCCAGGTTATAACAGCCATATCTTGGAGCTTAACTTTAGGAGGCAATCTCATAGCTCTGCATAGTTACAAGTACGTAACAAGTCCACAACTCACATAGAACTGGTGTATCTCCCCGACCTTGACGAAGGCAGTGCACTTGGCCTGGAGGAAGTCCAGTATGGGCTGCACCAGCCAGTCTATCAGCTCTTGGATCAACTCGTACTGCTCCGGGATCAACTTCTTGGTCAAATACACGTTGTATGAACTTAGGAACGCTCGCCAGCCTGTGTAAACGGATTGTCAACTTTACTAAGTTTGTAATAGTGTTTAAAATGTAATAGATTGGGTAATCTACAGTATTACTGGTTTTTTTTAAATCTCAGTCGTAGCACCGTAGCACGGCGTCTAGAATTGTTCCCAGTATATGGCAATAGGCTCACCCCCTTACATGGGACTTGTAACATAAATAGTGAAATAAAGTGGTGGTATTAAGTCATGTGTCATGCGTCATGCCGTAATGTGCACCTCTGCCTACCCCTTCGGGGATAAAAGGCGTGATGTTATGTTATGTCATGCTAGTGGTACTAATGTAAAGTATCCGAATAATAAGGTTTAAATAAATCCGAGACATGATTTAATTAAAACTAATAAAATAAAGAATTATTAATTATTAATAATAAGTCTTGCTGGGCATTTGCGACCACTCGACCAATAAAAAAACAATGAAATAAAAAAGGAGCAGGAAGATATTGAAGTAGAGTAAGTACCGAGCATCTCCGGCTCCATGTAGATCATCCCGCAGCGGGACACGGTGGCCGGCGAGGCAAACTCCAGGTCCGCGGCCTCGAATATCAAGTTCATCTTGTTCGTCATCTGGAGACATTTTAACAAAATAAACTAATTATCTTACTAATTATGTTTCGTCCAATGACATCTTCTTTTCAACCGACTTCAAAAAAAAGGAGGAGGTTCTCAATTCGACCCGTATGTTTTTTTTTTTTTTTTTCTATATTTGTTACGCGATTACTCCGCCAATTATGAACCGATTTGAAAAATTCTTTTTTCGGCGTATAGGTAATACCTCAAGGTCCCATTTAAATTTACTAATAAAAATAACAACCCCTAAGGGTGGAAAATTGGGGGATGAACTACTTTATACGCAATATCTCCGCCGATTATGAACTAATTTGAACTATTATTTTTTTGTTGAATAGGTATTATCAAAAGGATGGTTTCATGCGAATTTGAAGAAAATATTTCAACCCCCAAGGGTGGAAAATTGGGGATGAAATTTTTTATACGCAATATCTCCGCCAATTATGAACCAATTTGAACGATTATTTTTTTGTTGAATAGGTATTATCAAAAGGGTGGTTTCATGCGAATTTGAAGAAAATATTTCAACCGTCAAGGGTGGAATTTGAACGATTATTTTTTATATTTCACCCCCAAGAATAGAACGTTAGTTGTTACGAGATATCTCATTAAGGCTGCGCGTTTAGTAGGCCTACCCATATTAAATGCACTAAGGGTATCTACAAAAAAGTAACACTAAAAATTTTAAAATAAAATAATTAACTTTTTAAAAAAAATAAAACCGACTTCAAATGCGAGAACACAAAAAAAAACTAAAAATTAAAAAATAATTCCTAATACCTATTACCTAATACTATAATTTTTCTAAACTATATCAAAGTAATTAAAGTTAAACCATCTAAATATCTTAAAATAGTTATACTTATATACCTACCTATTGTTTTTTGGAGTCGGTGCCAGTAATAAATGAATATTAAACCTAATGAAATAAGAAAAAGTACTCAATGAAACAAAAATATTAAGAAATAAGTTGTATGTAGCCTGGTACAACTAAACCTATACCAACAAAGAATAACAAATACCTACAAATCCTACAATAGAATACAACAAACAAAAAAGAAAGCAATAATTTGAAATATTGCGCATCCGAAAATTCAGTATTTTTGACACGAGCGTCAACGTAGTCTGCCCTCAAGCGTCTGCCCGCCTTCGGGTCGCTTACTCGAGCAAGACCGCACGCGCCCGCGTCCCCCGCCGCACCGCGCGGCCCCGCCTCGCGCCATGCGTCCCCCGCCACCGCGTCGCACGTCTCTAGTTCGCGGGTAAACTTAATACGCTGGCACTGGCACCGACTCCAAAAAACAATAGGTAGGTATATAAGTATAACTATTTTAAGATATTTAGATGGTTTAACTTTAATTACTTTGATATAGTTTAGAAAAATTATAGTATTAGGTAATAGGTACCTATTAGGAATTATTTTTTAATTTTTAGTTTTTTTTTGTATTTAATTTTTTTAAATAAATATGGTTGTTCGAACAAACACTGCTACTTCCTTGTAGAACATTCTATAGTCGTGGTACTATCAACTCTATTGGTTCTAGTATTTAAATTTTAGCGACCATGTACAGTCAGCACAAATACTTAGTATGCAAGTAAGAAAAGAAAGATTGAGTCAGTACAGAGATAGTAACCATTGGTTGGCTACTGAACAGACCAATGGTTACAGATGTGGCTTGGTAAGAAAACTATATAATTTTGTGTAATAATACCTTTTTTCTATAGCGATCAAAAACCTCATGGACTTCCCACGTCGTGGGGACGACGAGGGGACATGCCGGACTCTTCACCACCCCCGGCAGGCCTCGACCTACTGCTATGTTTGCAGCAGGTCCCCCCACCTTAGCGGCCCTAGGAGCCTGCTTTCCGTGTAATAATAATAGCTACTGTCTCTGTATTAGTCAGTCTTTATTTTCCTACCTACACTATACATATAAATAAAATTGGAGTATCTGTTTGTAATATTGAAATAACCCCCTTTTACTTCATACTTATGAAGATACATACGATACATACTTATAGGTATGTGTGTATGTATGTGATATTGTTACATACCAAAATATCAATTTTACAATTTGTCTGTCGGACTGTCTGTTTGTATGATTAAACCAATTTAGACGGGAATTTTATAGCTGATGTACTGGTGCACTACTTATGCTACTTTTTCCACGCGAACGACGTCGTGCCTACAGCTAGCAGTAAATATGTACTTACCTGTATGATCTCCCCACTCATGAGGCAGAGCTTCTTGTTGTCATCGAGCACAGTGTTCATGTTCTCTATCCACACAGCGTCCACGGGTCCGTCGAACAGGATCCATTTGCGGTCCCGAGTTATTGACATGGCGTACTCACGGAATGCTATCGCCAGCACACCGTCTGTCCTGCGGAGTCATCATCATCATTATCAGTAGCCACTCCTGAACATGGACTTGTAAATAGGCTAGTTGGAAGCGACCTGCCGAACGAACTTGGGGGGCTAGCTTTATTAACATAAAGTCGATAAAGGCTAACAACATAAAACACGGATCGACTCATTAAATCACTTTTTACAATCAAATTAAGGGTTCTAATGGAATTTGAAACTAGTCGGACATTACCGAAATATGTCATTAAGGCGTACATTAATTTCTTAACTTGTGATGTTTTAGGTACATACATACATAGTCTCACGCCTGTCTCCCATGAGGGTAGGCAGATACTATGGAACGCCAATAGGGTAGACGACTAATTTTTATCTATATGTCCGTCTGGTAGATTATATAAAAACGTTAGACAAGTATTTTTTATTTTCTTACAGAAACGAATACTTTCGAAGATATATTGATTTGAAATATCGCATGACGTCACTTTTGAGTACGATTAATATTCTAAAATGACGTAGTTAGCTCCCACTCCTAAACTCTGATTCGTTTTATCTAAGTATTGTTTTCTTATACACCGAATAAAAAAATACGTGTCTAATATTTTTTCATTACCTCACTGACGGACTAATACATTTTTGATTCATATCCATATTGCTACGATTTTTACATACCTCGTTCGCTTTATCAACACTCATCAGTATTTTCATGCATGTTCATCAGTTAAGGGTACTTCTAAGTAATTAATATAAAAATCGAAGTTACCATTCATGCGAGGCAGGATCGAAGCATCCATAGAGCTGTCCCATGGTGATGGCCTTGGGGTTGAGGATGCGGTAGATGGCTCCGAACTCCTTGTGTCGCGGTGGTGGCTTGGTGAGCTGTAGAGCTCGCAGGGAGTCCGCCAGTGTCTGGTAGGCCTGCGTCTTGCCTCCCATCGGCTGCCCCACTATCATGAACCCGTGCCGAACTAGCATCATCTCGTACACCTACACACGTAAACAGAATTATTTATTACCGACTTAAAATAGCTTCACTTTTAACTCGTTGAGTACCGTCATTATAGACACAATTATAGAACAATAGGTTGCAGTTTAAACTGTCAAACACCAAGCGGTCACCGGTGACCGCAACCTATTGTTCTATAATTGTGTCTATAATGACGGTACTCAACGAGTTAATATTATTTTTATTTTGACGTTCAAAAGTGCCATTATGGCCTAATTGAAATAAATAATTTTGACTTTGACTTTGACTTTGAAAAAACAAGGAGGTTCTCAGTTTGATCTGTATGTATGTTTGTTTGTGGTTTGTGCGCAATTATCTCGCGATTGGCTGAACTGATTTCGATGCCGTTTCCAAAAAAGTGTTTGATACACTTAGGAGAAGGTTTTAGTATATTAATGAACCGATTTCAAAAAAGGGGCGTTTGATGTCGGTTCTTCTAAACGTAGTTTTTAAATTCTTCTTTTTCTTTTTATCATCTGGCTACTGCATTTGTGCAGGTCGCGTCGATTGTGGCCGAGTGGTCGCAAGTGCGACTGCCGGGCCAGGGATCTCGGGTTCGATTCCCGGGTCGGGCAAAGTATTACTGGGATTTAAAAAATTCTCAGTAGTAGCACGGGGTCTGGAATTGTGCCCGGTATATGACAATAGGCTTACCCCCTATTACATGGGCCTCCTAACATAAATAGTGAAAAGTGGGTGTTACATTGTACAGTGGCATAATGTGCACCTCTGCCTACCCCTTCAGGGATAAAAGGCGTGATGTTATGTTTATGTGTTATTTTTTCAACTTTTCGTTGAGGCATCTCATTAGAATTCTTCGTAACAGCACAAATCATGATTTTACCGCGACTCAAACAATATTGTCTCTAAATAAAACCTACGCGGAAACAATTATTATAAATGATATTAGATTGAGGCTTCGTACCTGTATAATCTTCTCCAGATACCAGTCGGTGGCCTGCAGGTTTCGCTTGTCCAGCTCCTTGAGTATGCAGCGCGTCAGTTCCACGCGGTCTGGCTGCGGGATCTCGATGCCAGGGAACAGGTCCGTGTAGATACCCATGAATAGAGGTACGTCCTAGAAAAAAAACATAATAAATTAAAGGTTATTCTTGGTAACACTAAGATTTCTTTTCATTTTACTTCTAAGTCAAAGCATTTATTTCAATTAAACCATAGTTTGGTACTTTTGAAATGTCAACAAATACAAAATAAATAATAATCTGTCAGTCAGTCCGTCAGTGAAGCTAGGTGAAGCTAGGTGCTCATTCCAAAACGTAGATTCGAATGGAGAAGAACGAGAAAGAAACTCCATTCGTTACTCTTTTTAAAAAAAGTATGTTCTGCAATGTCTCTGATACATATTTCAATACTGTACGCATATGTAAGAACAATGCATAGACACGCTTTTTTTTTTTAAGGGGGAAAATCATCGAATGAATGCTCCCGCCTGGGTGAGGCGGGAGGGAGTGTCAGACTCTTACTGACTAAAAACCACCCCGTTCCTTCTCCTGCACGCCGAGCTGGAGCCCCGGTTACCCGTTAGGTTCTCCGCTACTCCGAATCGGCAGCATAGACACGCTTGACGCATTATACTAATAACTTACTAAAATAAAAAAAAATAAAAATCTTAAGTCTAACATGGTGCTCACATATGCATACTGACAATCCATAGAAATAGTGCTTCTATACAAGAAAAAGTAAACTCTTTGTTTCAATAAAGAAAGAAATGCTCGATGCCATAAGGAAACTAGAGGTAGTTTGTCTTCATTAGAGTTAAAGTATTAAATTATGTATTATATTACCTACTATTGGAATTTAACTACTGACTACTGACTATTACATAAAATCCGGTCTTGTATTCTCAGAAAATCTTCGATTCTAAAAGTCAACAATATTTATATCATACACTGGTTTACTTCTCTCTTCAGTAAAAATAAGCGTGAAATCTTATACCTACATAATTATAAGAACCATGTTATATCAGTGAACCCTCATACTAAGGATGGACGCGTTACAGCACATTGAGAGGCGTATACCAAGAGGGTCATCAACGATGATGCGCTTGTGGCGGTCCGGCTTCAAAGCCTCGAATACAAGCGTAAGGTTGCAAGCCTTGGGGTTTCTACCGGATACATTTCGATGAGTGTGTGAGGGAATTGCACAACTTTATTCCCCCTAGTCCTTTCCATTATCGTACCACAGGACAATCGGCGAAGCGTGGCCGATTTTTTTTTTTATGGCATAAGCCAGTAAACGAGCAGACGGATCACCTGATTAAGCAATCGGCGTCGCCCATGGACACCTGGAACACCAGAGGCGTTACAAGTGCGTCACCGGCTTTTTGGGGATTAGGAGTTTGAGGAGGATTCATGGTAGATGTACTACCCACACGCATGTAGTGCCATGGCATAAATTCTTTATCAAAGTCTGTATTTCCTGAATTGTTGCTTATGGGTCGACGTGCTCCACCGTAGACCGCATCATCGCTTATCACTAGGCGACATAGTGATCAAATATAAAAAAAAGGATGAGAATTATTATTATTATTAATTATTAACTCTCTAGGTATTACTTTTGTTTGTCTGTGAATGTATTCTAACTTATGATGATGATGCTGACAAACAGTATATCCTGTGCAGTTTCACCCGTTCTGCTCAGCTGCTATTTGTCATAGCGTACGTTTTACACCTATATCCTTCCTTAATAAATGGACTATCAAACACAAAAATAATTATTCAATTCGGTCTAGTAGCCGCTGAGATTAGCGCGTTTAATCAAACTAACTCTTCAGCTTTATATATTACTAGCAGCCCGTCCCGGCTTAGCACGGGGTAGACAACTTTTTTTTCAAAATGTAATGTAGCCTATGGTCAAATTGGAAGTATGTAGCATTCTATTGGTAAAAGAAATTTTTAAATCGGCCCAGTACTTTTTGAGCCTATTCATTACAAACATACAAACGTACAAAAATAGGTACAAATCTTTCCTCTTTATAATATTAGTTTAAATAAAACAAATAAAAACATACAGATTGTATCTGATTGTATCACTCCCGCAGTGCTGTAAACTCCATATGTACCATTGACGTATAAAAGTCATTTATAAGTTACCTGTGAGAGGAACTTGGGCATATTAACATCGATGATGGCCCTGAGCACGAGCTGTGCCTCGTCCTTCTCAGGGTAGTTCTTCTTCAGCGCGCCGGACGCCAGCAGGACCGACTTCACGGCGCGCATGCCGTAGTCGTAGTGGTTCTGGGACGATAGCTGCTCCGAGCAGAGCTTGTAGGCTTGCACTATCTTACGGGCTAGTCTGGGAACATTCATTGTCATGTGAATTGTCGTTCGTTCTATTGTGAAATTAAAGTAACTATGACAAGTTTGCATCGTTAAAGTTCGTACGTGAAATTCACAATATGATCGTAAATGACCAAAGAATCTTCCCTTTTTCAAATGTAAGGAACATTTTTCCACTTACCTCTGTTCTTAAGAGACCTTATCTTTTTGGGAATTGTCTCAACCACGGATAAGAGAACCATACAATACATTTTTAGATGAAATCCCTTTTCATCATTATGTAAGCAACAAGACTTCTACTGCTGACCACAGGCCTCCCCAAATTATTCTATTCTATAAATAATGTCTTTCAGATAGGCCGGTATATTTTGGTACATATCGAAAGCTATAAAAAGTAGAGTACTGACGGTCCAGCTTGTACGAATCCGTTAGAGTAGAGCGTGATCTCCCCGATCATGGCGTAGTCGGGCACCATCATCGCCACCGTGCGGAACAACACCTTCAGGTTGTCTGGTAACTCCGTGCGGCCCGCGTAACTGAAATATGTAAAAAAATTATAGAGTACCGACTCTAAGGGCTCGTACACAAAACTGTGGTGCAAGCTTCCTGTACGCATCGCAATAAGTTGCGAATTGATTCGCATCGCGCATCAAAATTTTATCTTCTCAAAATCTTCTTTGTTTCTTTTTCAGCAATAACAGAAGTGCATACTTCTTATTACGATCCATTCTTAGTTTTTTTTAAATTAAAGTACGGTTGACGCTCGTCGAAGGAATGGTCACCCTGGGAGACACCTTGTCGCACGATATCGCATCGCAGCAATTCGCATCGTAATTTTTTGCGTTGCGAATTCGCATCGCAGTTTTATGTACGAGCCCCAAAGTGTTTTAAATTGCTAAAGTCATGTTTTTCTTGCCTCGAGGGATAAGCAAAGTCGTATTAACACTCACTTTTCACCACTGACACGTCTCAAATATGACTCAGAAGTAAAAAGACACAGGTGCAATTTCCGTCTCAGACAAAGTATAGTTAAAATATTCAGTTTTCAATACTTTTCACTCATTGTATTGATAGAAATTTTGAATACTTGATAAAAAGTTGACATAAATATTTATATACCCAGGATTCATAGTAATGAACACAGAGCAGCTCGGATTGAGGCTAATCTCTGTTCCCTCGAAGACGAACCGCTTCTCCCGGCGGAGGATGGCCAGCTGGATGGAGAGGATCTGCTGGGCCACCACTGACAACACCTCCAGCTCAATGCGGTTGAACTCGTCGAAACATGCCCACGCCCCGGATTGGGCTAGACCCTGAAGAAATGAACTTATTGTACAAATTACCTATGCTTGCGTACGTACGAGTTGCAGTGAGTGCGGTAGCAATGGGTAAGCAAAACAAGTCAGGTTCGATTCCGGGCCTGAGCAAATTATTTGGCTTCCATTGTCAGAAAGGCTTTTGTCCAGCAGTGGACATCTTCCGGCCGTTTATGATGATGATGATAATTGTCAGAAAGAGGATGATCACCTCAAGAGAAACAAAATGGTCTTTATTACGTAATATTCATTTAAAATTAGTAATACCAAATAAACATTGAGGTTACCTTGAAGAATTTGCCAAGCGCCTTATAGTCGAGTCCGTCGGAACAGTTGAAGACGACGCACTTCTTAGCGACGGCTTTAGCCAGGTCCTTGGTGGTCTCCGTCTTACCTGTACCTGCTGGACCTTCGGGGGCACCGCCCAGGTTCAACTTTAGGGCACTCATGAGAGTCCTGGGAACAAATTAAAGTATCGTATAAAACGTTATTACTATAGTAAAGTTCTAATTGATTGATTGCGATTGCGACCCCTAGCATTCGTCTATACACGAACATTTTAAAACCAAAATTAGTCAAATCGGCACAGCCGTTCTTGACTTTTACCGAGTCTAACGTAACGTAAATTCATTTTTATCTATCTATATAAATAAAAATGAATTTCTGTTCGTTAGTCTCGCTAAAATTCGAGAACAGCTGAACTGATTTGGCTAATTTTGGTCTTGATAGGTTCGTGGAAGTCCAGGGAAGGTTTAAAAGGTAAGAAAAAACTTTTAGGCGGTACGAAGTTTGCCGGGTCAGCTAGTATATGTATATATAAATGTAGATAACAGCACTTACATCTGAACTAATATCTCTTCAATAACGTCGCATTCTTCATCATATGATTTCTTATGGCAGTATCTAACGTATAGTATGAAAATCAAAGATAACTTGTATTCAACACGAGTCCACCTCACCTGAAACACCGGTCAGTAAGCGGCGTAGCAACCAGTCGTCCAATATTGCCGAGGTATTCGAACCCGTACTCCACGTCGGTAGTGATCATGGAGCAGATCATCTTCTCTCCGCGCCAGTAGTACCGCAGCTGAGAGATCCAGTTGAAGTCCGTGACGTCCACTACGTTCCTCTCTAACAACTCCTCCTGGATTGATCGACCTGCAATAAAACATTTTAAAATTATAGTTAATTATAGTTAATAATATAATTAAAGACTGCCTCGTTTGTCGAGTGGTCGCAAGTGCTACTGCCGGGCAAGGGGTCTCGGGTTCGATTCCCGGATCAGGCAAAGTACTACTGGGTTTTTTAAATTCTCATTAGTAGCACGGAGTCTGCAAATGTGCCCGGTATATGGCAATAGGCTCACCCCCTATTACATCGGACTCATAACGTAAAATAGTGAAAAGTGGGTGTTACTTCTGTGTGCACCTCTGCCTACCCCTTCGGGGATAAAAGGCATGATGTTATGTTATGTAATTAAATTAACTTTGGCCGAGTGGTCGCAAGTGCTACTGCCGGGAAAGGGGTCTCGGGTTCGATTCCCGGGTCAAGCAAAGTACTACTGGGTTTTTTTTTAATTCTCAGTAGTAGCACAGAGTCTGGAATTGTGCCCGGTATATGGCAATATACGTATAAATTGAGAAACCGTCTCATCAGAAGTAAGACGAAGGTTCTAGACATTACACACAAAATCAAAAGGCTTAAATGGAGATGAGCAGGCCATATGATACGAGGAAAAGACAAATGGAGTAAAATTGTAACACAATTGTATCCCAGAGAAATGAAAAGGAAAAGAGGCAGACCACTGAAAAGGTGGGATGATGACATCAGGCAGGTGGCGGGAGTTATGTGGAATAGAGCGGCCCAAGAAAGAGAGGAATGGAAAATGTTGGAGGAGGCCTGTGCCGATTGTCAAACGGATCTGCAAAATATAAGCAAGCAACAAATTAGAGAATAATATTTGTTTTTAGTTACCAGTATTTGCATGTTCTGAATAAAGGCTTATTTCTTATTTATTTTTTATTATATGGCTCACCCCCTAGCCCCCTAGTATATACATAGGACTCGAAACACAAATAGTGAAAAGTGGGTGTTACATTGTACAGTGTCATTAAGTGACGTAATGTGCACCTCTGACTACCCCCTTGGGGGTAAAAATTTTATGTATGTATTAAATAAAAGTCGTGGGAGAAAAAAACATTTGTTTTGTTATCTCTTTTCCTCTCGCTCTTTTGTAGATAGTGATAGTGTTAGTTGCATAGTACACACTACAATGAAATTAGTAAATACTTTGAACAAATCCCTCATAATCTAAACAGCAAGTGAACGGATATAGGCATTAAAGAAGAATGAAACGAATCAGAATATTCACACCAAAGTGATCCTTATATAACATATGAATAAAGCGTGTATTACCGTGGACATCGAGCACGATGAGTGCCTCGACCGTGATCCTGTTCCCCGGCTTGAGGTCTCCCTGCACGAGGTACACGAGTCCGTTGATCTGGTCCGTGCTGCGATTTATCTGCTCCGGGAGGGAGTTCGTCTCTATCGCCTCTATAGTCTATGGAATTCAGAATTAACGTAGAAATAATCTGTACATTGTTTAGCGGAAATAAGTTTGAATTTACTTCGTAATCTATCAAAATTGACGATACAACGCGGTTTAGTTTGTATCAGTACGAATTCAGTTTTAGTGTCAGTTGCAGATTGTTTTTTTTTTGCAGCAATGACATTGATTTATTACAATAGAACATTTTTGTAAGCTCTATGTTTTAATTAGGTCATTAAAATCTATTTTAAACCCTAATAAAATATATGTATACACGATAGACCCTGACCTCGAGCGTGTACTCGACGCAGGCGCCGGACTGTACGATCTGTCCGGGCCAGATGAGCACCCAGTCCACCCTGGTGGTGGTGACGTAGCTGGTGATGGCCTCGCTGGCCACGTCCCGCAGGCTCACTATCATCTGGTGCTCCAACTGCTGCAGCCAGCGCTCCACCATGCCCTGCCGGGGACAATTCAATCATTTTTTAAAGAAATCGTGTAGATACATGTATCTACAGTACAGGTGGAAGGGACAGGTGTTTCGTTTTTTCTCTAAGATTGAACTAAGTAAGTGTAGTTTTTAAGAAGTCAAAGAAGTTTCACAAGGTAACATAAC